TCTGGTTTCCTTTAGGCAGGTAGACGTACACTCCGCATCCAAAGACACGTAAGTGCTTGATGTCAGGAGCTTCTTTATTCAGGACCTCATAAGGAGTCAGCCATTGATGGCGCTTCAAAGGGGTCCGGTTGTAGACGTGAACAGCATGGTCTACTGCAAATTCCCACCAAGATGGAGGTGAGCAGGACTCTAGCCGCATTGACTGTGCTTTGTCCATTATAGTCCAAATGAAGCACTCAGCACGACCATTTTGTTGGTGCGCATAAGGTGTGCTCTGTCGGATTTTTATGCCCTCATCTTTGAGCATTTCAATGAACGCATCAGATTTGTATTCTCCCCCTGCATCGGACATCCACTCCTTAATTTTCCTGCCATATTGATTTTGTACGTAGGCAAGAGATTGACGAGTCTTAGCAATTGCAGCACCCTTGGAGCGCATATGCATGACCCATCCATAGGAGGTGTAATCATCAAAGAAGACAATTGTGTACCGATACTTATGGTACGAGTCTACGGGAAATGACTTAAGATCCGAGTGAATTAACTCAAACAGTTCTTTAGCCCGTAGAGTGGATGGTGGGAAAGCCTTAGAAGGCATTTTCCCTTCCGCACATCCAGGGCATACTGGGTCTTCCAATGGAAACTCCAGATTGGTGGGGAAACCTTTGGTGTGTTCCCTAGCTTGCCGCAGGACTTCTTTAGAAGGGTGTCCCATGCGACGGTGCATAATCCCATAATCGACCGCATAGATCGTTGGGAATATAGAGTACGCATCCGGTGCAGGAATTGTACTGACACTGTAGATAGTGTCGCCGGGCTGCCGCGGTAAACACCTGAATAGAGGTTCGCGCAATCCCTTTTCATATAGGCTTATGTGTTGGTCATTGCCAGACACTTTTAGTTTATCCTGGAGCAATACTCCGAGTGACATGAGGCGAATATTCAGGTCAGGTATATAGTATACTGGAAATAACCGAGTGGTTATGTTTCCGACGTCCTTGATATAATAATTCAGGACAGTCGTACCAAACCCGAGTATTCGTGCAAACCCATTCGCGGTAGACGCGGTCGCAGGTTGCCTAAATTCCTCAAAGTTGATGAAGTCACTCATGTCATAAGTGAAATGTCGAGAAGCCCCCAAGTCGAGGATCCAGGTGTTACCCTGTTGTGCCTTATCTTTCCCCTTACATTTTGCACACGCAGCATAAGTTTGCGCATGAGTGCAATATATTAATGCCAACGTTACAGGACTCAGATTAAGATCTACACTATGCTGCCCTAACTGTGATGGCGCATCAGTGGAGTCCTGTAAAGGGGAAGATGGCACGTACGAGTAGTGCTCGTCGATAAAGGTGTTCTGGTCGAAGCCAGCAGCATCCGCGATAGTGCGGTCCAGGTCTTCCTCGTCGCCGAGACTGACAGTCTCCCCCTGGTCCTTGTCACTACCCCAGTCAATAGACTGGTTGTCGTCGTGGTCGCTGTCCGCAGCGTCATCCGCGCAAGCGACTCCTTCAAAGCGAGCGCACTTGGACGCGCGGCTGGAGGCGACAGAGTCGGCATCCTCCATGTCGACATCCGGGTCCGGGTCGACTTGCCCGACAAGAGCGTCCAAGACCTTGATATCTTCTTCGGTGGGACTGATGTCGAGGTCCCGCGCGAGCTTGAAGGCTTTCTTGATCCGCTTATTATTGTAGTGACGGGTATCCGCCGAAGGAGGCGGGTGGAACGGACCTTGCTCTTTAACCGTCCGAGTCTTGCTGCCACTAGGCGTGATGTCGAGGACGTGAGCGATGGTTGGAGGAGGAAGGGAGACAGTCGAGGCGATGAGAATGTCGTGGGCATGGTGGTGATCATGGTTTTGCCCTTGACGCTTCTTGCCTGCGCGCTTGCCGTGATAAGGGTGCCTCTTCCCATCTCGCGCATTGCCACTGCTGCCCTGAGGGCGCTGCTGCTGCTGCGAGGAAAAGGAGGGATCGCCCAGCTTATGTTTCACTGCCGAGATCTTGTGCGCACCGAGTTTCTCTGGCTTCTTGCCTTGCGACTGGTCCCAAGCAGTGGTAACTGCTTCACGTACTGCACCTATGCTCATGTTGTCAGCAGAGGTAGCTTGGACCAGCATCTGCGCAATGTTCTCGTAGTGGCTGGGGAGCGCATAAAGGCAAATTAGACTTTGAATAACCGTGGGAATCTTGACCTTGGCCGCTTCCAGAGTGTCAAAATGTCTGGATATCTTCGCGAAGGCTGGAGCAGGGTGCTGATCCGCCGGAATCTTCATCGATAAGGCCCCCCGCAGCTCATTGTAAATGGCGCCGAGGGACATAGACGAATAGAGGGAAGACAATTGGTCCCAAGTTTCCTTGGCTGATTTCTTGTCCTTTATGTAGGAGGCGATGGCGGGAGAGCAGCGTAGACGAATCATACCCATAGCCCTGACATCTTTTTCCTTCCAGGCGTCAGCAGCGGTAGAGTCCCTGGTAGTACCGGAGATGATGACAGCTGGCTGCGTGATGCTGCCATCAACATTCCCCCAGAGGCCTTGGGACATAAGGTACGCCATCATTTGCTTGGACCAGGTAGGCCAGTTCAAGCCGTCAAGGACGGGGACAACAGCGATCAGATTGTTCAACATTGTTGTGGAGCGATTGAGAGATCTGAAATCTGTATCGAGATCTCATCAGTATCAGCGAAGCTATGCAGCCCGATAAGGGCGCACTGCTCCATGCTGTTGGCTCCATTAGGGAGTTTCCCCAGGATCGATCATCAAGCCTGATGGCTGCCGATAACAGCACCTACGGCGATGGTCACGCATCAAGCCGCACTGCAGCCTGTGAGGGCACATAGGGCGATGCACAGGTGAGTGAGGCACAACGCGCTGCAGCGAGTTACCGCGCAGACGCAAGCTGCCTATTTGGGCTCATAACCTGATGAAGAGTTATGGAGGCAGCAGCACGCACAATGCGCCCTACACAACTCACCTGTATTGAGTGGATGCTGTAGCTACTGGTAAAGCTCGTATGAACAACCCTTGTCATTAGGCAGCAGAGCTGCAGGGTTTATATACACTGTGGCCCATAGGCTGACTAAGCTACATGGAATATCTATAATCCTACTGAGCTCCACCTATGATGTCACTGACCCACATGAGCTCCGTGCCATTGTACAATAGTGGAATATACCAGAATGTTCCAGAGGGTTCCAGTACGTTCTGGTATGTTGTAGAACCTGGCAGCTAAGTCAGCGCCCAGTTCAACATCCATTGTAGCATGTGTCGTTTGGCGAGAAGTGTAGGGTGTGAGCATTGGAAGCGGTTGAGGGTGCAGGTAATCTTATCTATTATTGGTTCCCAGGGGGTTTCATTGTTGACATTATTCCCAATCCAGGCTCCCAGTGAATGGACAGCTTCGCCATCTTTGGCAATATGGATAGAGGCGGCAAGGGGTCGGTCATCAGGATGGAGACAGCATGTTGTTAATAATTATTACACGGTTACAGTGTGCTAGGGAGCCTATTGGTATTATTTCAGTTTTTTCTGTGTTGAATTTAGCCCCAGATGCACAGCACCAGGTGTCGAGAAGGTTCGTGAGGTGGTCGAAGCGGTCATTTTGACGGAGGTAGATCGTGGTGTCGTCCCATCAGGAAAAACCCTCCGCACTTATTAGCTCTTGCGGCGTATGATTAGGACCAAACATACCTCATTATAGCTAATAATGCACATTTGCCCATTACTTCTAATTAGCAAGTCAAGGCTAGCCTCCCGATGGCTTAGATATAATTAGCCACAAGCAAGATCTTAAATAGTGCGAATCCATCATAATCATTGATCATTCTCACACATCAGGCAGCAGGAGCTTTTATGAAAAATCATTATATTGTCGACAGACTCGGATGTGCAATACAGTATAGAATACATCAGGGAAACCCTCCTGAGCTAATTATGTCTAATCATGTCTAATCCTGCAGAATTATGCAGGATTAGCTGTATTATGCCATTCTATCTAATTAGACAAGTTAGGTTTGTCCCCTAGCTAATTAGACATAATTATGACCATTATGCTGTATCACCTCATATTAGATGGCAATTATGTCGCAATCACATCATATCATTTCCCGGGGTACCACAAGGAGTATTGAGATATATTCATGATGTAGCTACAAACAGGCATGTAACTACAATCTCCCTGCCCTCATCAGCCTACAAGATCACTTTCCCCTCAAAGCAGGCTAAGGAAAGTTCCCAATATCGGATCAGATAAGAGAAGACATCAACATAATGTTGGTAAGGCAGATCATCCAGACATCAGAACACACCTATGAGACACCACCTTGAATGCAGACCTGGGAAGGAAGAGATATGGTCTCTGTACGGCATCATTAGCCTCATGCATGGACAGCAAGGAGCAACCACTTACTCAAGGCAGATATTTAGTGAAGCATGGCATCATGCACAACGCAAATATATGTGCCAGGCATCTCGGGAGTGGATATGACATATGCAGACAATAGCGGCAAAGCAGGCTTAGTGGCAAGGGGGGCACACAGTCAGACTGCAGCAACAGCTCAACAATGTTGAGCACATACCAATCTGACTAACTTACAAGCTGCTCACAAACCCGCAAGCAGCCCCCGATCACATTCACTAGTGCATACCCAGGTGTTTGCAGTCTTATACTCTCATGGAAGGAGTAGTCCACAACCTGCACCACAGCCAAGCCAGTACATCAACACAACACACACAGGAATCGACACAAACTGACCGTATTCTTTGTAAACCAGCACACGCATCATCTTACACCTGTCAGCACTTTATCAAGTGGATGCCGTGTTCAGAGCCAAGTAGGATCCGGTGGCGGTCGAACCGAAGGCGGGTATTGTCAATGGAGTGACGGGGATCCAGCCTGTCAGGGTGAGGCCATCAGGGGACTTGGCAGCACAAAAGATAAGTTGAACCTACCAGAGAAGTCGCCCGCGATGGGCCCTGCATGGGTACAACCCTGGGAGTATAGACGACTCTGACGAGTGAGCACACGAGTCAGTCGCAGGACTACAGAGCTGCGAAAGCTCCTTTTCCGAGGGAGCGGAATGATGGGGACATGGACGACGGCGGGCGGCGAGCCAGCAAAGGAGAAAGAATGGAGCGCGAATGTTGAACATGGCAGATTAAATCGGAGTTCAAAACACGGTATCAACAAAGTCATGTGACCGGCTACAGCTAACCGGATGACCGGACTCTGGCGAGAACACGCTGAGTCTTGGCTGAGTCCCGTCCAAGTCTCTCTAGAGCTCAGCCGTAGGTGCTTCTAAGCTCTCCAAACTCCTGCTACTTAGCTGATATCATGCAGGAGAAGACTCATCAATTTATACTTCTGATATTGATTCTCTGGCTTTGCGTTCCTCATCGGTGATGGCTCCGGTAAATCTCGCGTTGCACAAGTTGCAGGGTTCCGAATGCGCCGGCGAGCACGTCGTGGACGATGTCATGCTGACCGTAAATGATGTTAAGACACCTGGAGTATAGTGCTATGGACGCAGATGGATGGCATGCTGGATATGTTGGAGAGTGCGGGTCAAGGTATGTGCATTCATCTGACACGTATATACATTCTAGATTTACTCAACACAGGACAACCACCCGCCACTCGCGTAGTTTAGCTGATACAAAGAGCAACCGCATCTCAGTGAACGCGAAGACTAGCATGGCACGGGATCCTCAATGCGTGCGGGTCGCGGGTAAGGGTACCAGCGGGTCCGGGTACGGGACGCGTTTCGCCGTACCCGAGAACCGACTATCGAAAACGCGCATCGTCCACCGCGCTCTCAAAATCGAAACCTGGGTCGCCGCGTACCCGTACCGGACCCGTCGATGAGGGTTTGCGCGCGAGTTTATGCGTTTACCCTTGCCATTTCCTAGGCAGCTGCAGTTGCAGGGAACTGCACAAACATGTAGACGAAGGACCGTGTTGCAGAGTTGCTAAAAGATGTATCTTACTTTCACAGAAGTGCGTCATGTAGATTAGCTGTTGGTCACTCTGGATTATACGACCTTTAGATGGATTTTTGGCATCATACATAATTGTGTGTAAATTATGTCTAATTAGCTCGGGAGGGTTTTCCTGATGTATGAAGATACGACGGGGAGGCAACAAATAACTGCCAGCATTGTCCATGAAGTTTGCTATAGTATATGAAACACACCGAAGGAGGGAGAGGTAGGCATCGGCAACAGAGCAAGTCAACTGATGATGAAGACAACACACAATGGTATCATGGAGGCATACACCACCATGCTGATGAAAGAAATGCAGGGGTATAAGGAGCACAGATAGCAATGGAAGACTATGAGTACCCCGATAGATCCATGAACGTGAAGGCGCTGTCCTCGGAGTCAACGCGTACCTCGGCGACAGCTGCGGCACTGCACAAGCTATCAGTGTCATCCGAGAAAGAGTCGAGCATAAGCTTACCGTGCACGACGATATATATCCACCATCATCTGATGGAAGAAGCCGGGGGCCTTCACCTTGATCTTTTCAAGAATCTCGACATGAGTCCTGTAAACGTCACCGCAGTTGAGTGCCGAGAACTCCCGTGCCTGACGCTTGCCCGACTGCCACTCCATCAGCGCGTTATGGATCTATTTGCAGATCAGTTAATATGTCAACATAGCATGCCGCGCAGACATACTGTGGTGGCGACAAGGGCAACCATAGATATGGGGATCTCGGGTGCGGGATCTGTGAGCGACGTAGACGTGAACAGGTCGGGGTGTTTCATCCCAAGCGCGCCGGACCCAGAGAAGTAGAGTGCGGACAGGATGGCGAGTATGGCAGGGTTCTTGTATGGTTCAGTTTTGCGAAGTCTCTGCGAAAAATTAGTACCAGCCTGCACGGGGAAACGATCACGTACATCCAGCCCATCACCAGGAAAGATGTATTTCTGGGATTTGAGCAGCCCCACTACGAGCTTCTCACACGCCGAACCGGGGGTGAGGCCATAGCTCCCGACAACATGATTGCAGCCGACGTTATAAGCATTGCGGCGCGAAGTACTAATCCGACCATCAGGCTGTCACAATCCATTAGTTATGTGTCGCAGTGTGAGCATCAGAACTCACAATCCTGCTCAGTGATCGAGCATACCCTTCCTCATTGACAAGGCGCAATAGAATGGGCTGGTACCTTGGGTTGCCTCGCGCAGCTGTCACAAGGCAATCTCGAGACAGCACTATCCGCCCGCCAATCTCGGGGAACGCATCAGTGAATGCAAGGTACTTAGCTACTCCTTTGATAGCTTCACGAGTGACAGCCTTCACATCGTCGGACTGATCGCTAAGGTTAACACGGCCCCTTTCATTGAATATAAGATCGGTGGGGGTCGGGCCCTGCAGAGCCACTCCGGGAGTCAGAATACCCGCCTCATCTTCATCAGAAGACTCTTCATGATGGTCCTCATCTTCATTGTCACCCGCAAACCTGAGGGAAGACGGGGATACAGCAAAGGTCACAGCGGGACCTCCGTGACCACCGCTCCTCCCTGACGACTTCCTTGCCGGTGTCACTGGGAGGCCGGTAGCGAAGTGTGGCACCTGCGAAGGAGATACATCCGTTAGGAGTGTGGCATGAACATACACAGCACATACCTCAGCGTCGTGAGCAAGCTGACGCTTACCCTCCAGTTCATACATCAGTACAATGCAGTGAGATACCGACAAAAGAACAGTACCTTTGCGGCTGGCTTACTGGCCTTCGATCGCCTCGGTGGTGTTATCGGTAAGATATCGTCGTCGTCGTCGAAGAGCTCATCTGCACCCGGGAAACTGTGAGCTGCTGTCTCGGACGGGTCTTGCGCTGGCACGTTGAAATTTTCAAGGTCCACCTGCGCCCACGAGGTAGCCTGTGAAGAGCGTGTGACTCGTCGATAAACCGACTCGACTCGGAGGTATAAGGTTACTTCTAATCCCACGCACCTCTTTACTCAGCTCCTCTTCGAGGCGACGTGGCTCCAGACCATCGAGCCATTCATCGTCCTCCTCGTTTTCATCGATTTCATCAACATTTGAGGCTGTTTCATTACCACTGGCACTCTCTGCCTCGTCGCTCGAGCCCACCTGTACGGCAGTCGAAGGGCGTTTGGACTTGCCAGTGGTGAGTTTAGGGGCGTCGCGCGGAGCTCGATGATCACCTAACCCAGACTTAGTCACTACTTTGGATGATTGTGATGTGCAGGACTACATACCTGCTAGCGGTGTGCGGGTGCTTGATCTGTCATCGTCCGACGCAGACTCAGCTTCGTTGATCACCGCGGCGCGGAATTGGGTGCGGCGTTGTTTTTCACCTACCAACGTTGAAGTCAGTTTATGCATCCTACCCACGTTCAGTAACTAACACATACTCTCTTGAGCAGACCGCCCGTGGCCATTACTACCTGCAATATGTACCCACAGATCAGTATCGCGAGCCGGCGCTGGCGCCTCCGGCTCCGCGTCTAATCCGTTTCCAACTCCGCGTCATTCCGACTTACCTGCCGACTTGCTCTTCTTAGAGTTGCTGACGGGTTCTGTAGCACCGGATCCTGCACGCTTGCGGCCTTGCAGCCAGACTGGACATTGTAATAGGGTAAGTTCATAATGCGTTCATCCCGGGCCATGTCACTGACACTTGGTTTTGCAGGGCCTTCGTCTTAGCGTTTCGCGAAGCTATCAAGGTTGTAACAGCGGTGAGCTCTCTGTATAATATAATGATCCGTCAGACCTTTGACAGACCTGGAGTGGGTTCTTGGGCAGGGGCAGGTACAGACAGTTCGGGTGCCGTCTTGGTGCTGACACCTGTCGTAGTGAGATGTAAACCCCGTTGCCGAGTTGCCGTGCCCCCGTGGGCGGGTTTACGCCCTGGCTTTGACATTGCGAAATAAACTTGAGAACAAAATTAAACGAGTGGTGAGGCTATAAGAAAGGACAGGAGGGAGGGAGTGCGCTGGGGGTTGAAAAGAAAAGGGGATTACGGGATCGTACGTGGGCTCTTTGTCTTTGTTTATGTGGTTGCTAATTAAGGCTCCAACCTTTTAGTTTATTTACTGTTTTAAATGGTTTTTTTGTGTTAAAGTTTATGTTTGTTTACGCCAAGCCAGTAAACCCGGGGTAAACAGTATATAAAGGGTAAACAAACAGTTAAATATAACATCTGCTTGAGCTGATCTGGCACCACGGAAAGCTCGTATAGGCTGTCCATGTTCAATTCACAGACAACTTGGAGGGCTCAGGAGAGTGTACTCCCCGTGCCACAGGTTTTCGATGCCTCGTCGGTCCTTCGGGACTTACCGACCTCCCTCGTGGGTAGTCTATTTTAAGGTAAGTGGCGGGTACCCTCGAGCCACAAGGACAACCGGCTTCGACGGTCCTCCCAGTATGTTAGACTATGCCACGTATGGCTCTCGTGAGCTCTTGGAGGCATCCGGGCATTATAGAGGGAGCAAGACGTCACTTTACCTCAGTATCATACGAAACAGGCTGTTTACTGTTTATTTACTGTTTAGTTTACTGGTTGTTTATGTTTATGTTTAGTTTACAAGAATCTGTAAACGTAAACTAAATGGTTGGAGCCTTATTGCTAATGTTTGGAGTAGCCGGTTATCCCCGAAGCGCAATATATGAAAGATGCGCATGCAGATGGATACGGCCTTGGTGGCGCATGTCGCGTGGTGGTGACACAGGCGTTGTAGCCCAATTTTGCTATCAGAGTGCAACTTCGATGTGTCTTAGGGATGGTACAGTGTCTAGGCTGTAATTGGACTTTCAGCGATCGTGGCTACACCCAACACCTTGGCAAGACCACAAACCCACCATGCCGGGCCATTTACGAGGTGCAGCATGCCTATATGCCTGGAATCGATGACGATTGCCCATCGGCTCCGGGTGAGGATGAGGAATCAGTCGTCTCGACTGGCCCCCCACCTATCTTTGGTGGTGATTTCTTCGGAACTGACTATGCTCCCGGCGACTTTGACGATATCGTGCAGAGCTCTGGGGATGAGCAAGAGTCAGATACTGATTCTGTGGGTTCAGACAATGACGAGGCGGTGGAAGCAGACTTGGGAGAGCCACACCTAGAGCCAGCAGCCCCGGTTCATGCCCCAGCTGTACCTGAAAGCGATGATGGCTATGGCGTTGACTCAGAGGATACAAACGAGGCCCGTCGGGAGAGTGAACGAGTTGCTCGAGACTTACTGAGGAAGTCTATCATTGTGCCATTTCCGTCTGATTGTGCTGGCCAGCCCCTTCGACCCACCAACCCAATGTCGTCAGAATATTATAGCTATCACACTCGACTTGGGAGCCAGCAAGATGATATTTGGGCTCCCTTCGTATCCAAGCTCGATTGGGAGGTCGCAAGGTGGGCGAAGCTGCGTGGGCCCGGCTCCACCGCTTTGACTGAGCTGTTGAAAATAGAGGGTGTAAGTCACTCTGTCAAGTGCCCGTTGCATGTGCCCTAAGCTTTTGAGAAGGTCTACGAGGCGCTGGGGTTATCGTTCAAAACCGCGGATGAGCTCAATAAGAAGATAGACTCACTGCCAAGCCGTCGCCCTCGCTTCCGGCGTGAGGAGCTCCTGCTTGGCGGCGAAGTCTTCGAAGTATACTATCGCGACGTTATTGAATGCATCCGAGCGCTCTACGGCGATCCGGAATTCTCGCAACATCTTGTGTTTGTACCTGAATGCCATTACACCGATGAGAATTGTACCAACCGTATGTATTTCGACATGCATACCGGTAAATGGTGGTGGAATACACAGGTAAGTGCTCAGCTCATTTCATTATTCCGTCCCATGACCTGATATCACATTACAAACAGAAAGCTGTCGAAGCAAACATGCCAGGTGCCACCATCATACCTGTCATTATTTCCACCGATAAGACCCAAGTGACTCTTTTCGGCAACAAGTCTGCGTACCCAATTTACATGACTATCGGGAACCTCCCAAAAGAGATCCGCCGTAAGCCGTCAAGGGGCGGGCATGTTCTCCTCGGTTATCTCCCTACTACCCGCCTTGATCACCTCACTAATAAGGCTGCTCGACGTCGTGCCCTCGCAAACCTGTTCCATTCTTGTGTGCGCCGGATTCTGCAGCCATTGAAGACAGCGGGGCAGGAAGGACTTGCCATGGTTAGCGGTGACGGTGTCTGTCAACGATGCCATCCGATTTTTGCTGCCTTCGTGGGCGATTACCCCGAACAGCTGCTTGTTGCTGCGGTCAAGACAGGTGAATGTCCGAAGTGCCCTGTTCCTCATGATGAATTGGGCGACTATGATGAAGATGCGGAGTACACTCTACGGGATATGGAGCAAGTTCTTGATGCTCTGGCTACCTTATCGGATGGTGCGGCAACATTTGTCAACTCATGCAAGCTTGCAGGTATTAAACCTATCCAGAACCCGTTCTGGGAGGAGTTCCCATACGTCAATATATACCAATCCATCACCCCGGATATCTTACATCAGTTATATCAAGGAGTTATCAAGCACGTCATCTCTTGGGTTACGAAGGCCTGCGGTGCGGCTGAGGTTGACGCCCGTTGTCGACGCTTCCCTCCGAATCACGGTATCCGCATCTTTGCCAAGGGAATTAGTTCCCTCAGTCGAGTTACCGGACGTGAGCATGCACAGATGTGCCAGGTGCTCCTCGGACTTGTCATGGATGTACAGCTACCACGTCGCGGTGCGTCTGCGAGGCTTGTGAGGGCTGTCCGAGCACTTCTCGACTTCTTGTACCTTGCGCAATACCCCGTCCATACCAATGAGACTCTTGATGTGATGCGAGAGGCTCTCCGTCGTTTCCACAATGACAAGGACATCTTTGTTGAGCTTGAGATTCGGGAGCAGTTCAATATCCCCAAGCTACATGCACTCCTCCACTATTTCATGTCCATTGAGCTGTTTGGAACAACAGATAACTACAACACGGAGTACACCGAACGCCTCCACATTGACTTCGCGAAGGATGCTTACCGTGCGACAAACCATAAAGACGAATACCCACAAATGACAATCTGGCTTGAGTGTCGCGAAAAGGTCTCTCATCATACGCAATATGTGGCATGGCGTCTCGCAGACTCTCCCCTACCTGCTCAGGCTCCAAAGGTCCCTATTCGAACGAATACTACACACATTCGTATGGCACGGCACCCCACGCTGAAGGCGGTACCCCTTATGCGGATGCGCAAGGATTACGGTGCGCGGTTCTTCGTGGATGCTTTCGCGCGTTTCGTAGCCCAGTACAACCATCCATCATTCACCCCCACACAAGTTGAGGATGCTGCGGGAGATGTCTTCCTTCCATTCCAGACGTTGCCCGTATTCCACATGATCAAGTTTACCAACGAGGACCTACTACGTGTTGGATCAGCAGTCGAAACCCTGGATGCCGTTCATGTCCGACCCGCAAAGTCAGATCCTCGCGGGCGGCCGGTGCCTGCACGCTTTGATACTGTATTAGTGAACCTTGGCTCGGGAAAAGAGTTGGGGCTCACAGGTACGTCGTCACATAGTCATATGTTACATGATGTGATATTAATTGTGTCTAGGCTACCGTGTTGCTCAAGTCCGAGTAGTCTTCACTCTCCCGCCTCGAGCCATCGCTGCGTTGTTCCCTCGCCGACAGCCACCAAAGCACCTCGCATACGTCGAATGGTTTACACCTTTCAGCAGGTCACCAGAACCGAATAGTCGGCTGAACAAAGTGTCACGATCTGTTCGAAACAGTGATCGCCTCGCCAGTGTCATTCCCGTGTTGCAGATACGTCGGAGTGTCCACTTGTATCCTAAATGGGGTCCAAGCGTGCCACGAGATTGGTCTTCGAGTACGGTCTTGGATGATGCGGTGGTATTTTATGTCAATCCCTTTGTGGACCGGCATAGCTACATAACACAGTTCTAATGCTACAATATTATCTTCAATTATATATCATCCACAGCCCGGATCGGAGAATAAGTTACTGTAATACATGAAAGATGCATTAGTCGTCGTTGGAAGTAATTAGCTAGACTTGAGGTCTAATTAGCGGGGGAGGTTTTTCCTGATGCCGCAAAGAGGGTTACCAGGATGTTGTTTCGTACTCCGGGAATGGAGAATCCGGTGAGTAGTTCTGATTCACGTAGTCGGCAGGCAAGGGGCTCGATGGCTAGGTCAAACAGCAGACAGGATAGGGGGTCACCTTGTCGGACTTCTCTGATGACCCGGAAGGGGGAGCTGAGGATGCCGTTTATGATCACAGAGGTGTAGGCATGGGAGTACAGGGTCTTGACTGTTGCAATGAAGAGTTTGGGGAGTTGGAAGGATTGGAGAGTTGTCCATAGGTAGTTATGGTCAATGCGATCGTAGGCTTTCTCTTGATCGAGGGCTATTATGGTGCCATCCTGGTCGAGTGCCTCCTTCCAATTATTCAATGATTGGAAATGCCACTTTAGTATACCATCTTCCAAAGCGATTTCTAAGGCCTCCAGACCGAACAGGTTGCTTTGCTGCTTCTAGTGGATCAATTACAACCCAAATTGCCCAATTGCCCAATTGAAAGGAACTATAGACAACATCGATATCGGCAGACCACAACCACTCCAGACAGCTCCCCTGGCACGACTATTCACACACTCAAGCCTCCACCCTCGCTTGCTACCCACCCCCCTCCAACAACAACCCAGTTTCATCCATTCCACGAGAAACACCGAAGCAAGACCGCCCCTTGAGAGAACGTGCGGCCATCCAGCAACCAAAGAGTAAGTACCACCACTAGGGGACCGGAAACATCGACCGGCTCTCCGGGGCGTCCCCCATCTCCGAGCACTGCGGTCTGCGCGCGTCCGGCGCGGGGTGACGGCACGTCCATGCTTGATCAGGGCTTGCGCGTACCATCTTGATGTTGGTGGGTGGCTGGTCTTGAGGTGGTCTTGAGCTTGATGCCTTCGTGGGTTTGGATGAGATGAGTGTGGAGATGAGGGAACTCGGGAGTGAGGGGGATGGTGGAAGAGAGTATGGAAGTCGACTGGGACCAGCACACAGAGTAGTAGTCGCGCGACGCCCCAAAAGCCCAAGGGAGAGAGAAAAGTCGCTCGGCACCTTGAGGAAGACGAACGTGTCCCGGATTATGAGAAAGAAAGAAAGGCCAAATAGGAAAAGGGTATCTCGGGCGTCCACCGAGTCGACGTCCATATATAACATCTTGAGTTTTCTGTTATTGCGCGGTGTTCATCCCCTAACGCCATCCGACGTTCTTGGGGGCACGCACTCCTCCAACTACACCGGCGCCCCTCCCGACGCCCCGTCCAACACCAGCCTTCTTGACCATGGCAGGCCTGGTAACACCAGCAGCCTTCGGGCACTGCGCCTCCGCGTGGCGCTTGAACTTCTTCGTCTCCGTCGCAGCCTTCTTGGGGGAAGGGACGGGAATAGCGACGCGCCCGAGGACGGGCTGCTGGCGGCGCACGCGCTTCTTGCCCGTCTCCGTCTCATCTATGGTGGGCTTGGATGGAAGCTCCGGAAGCTGCGCGACGATGGTAGAGACGTCGTCGCCGTCGGTGGACGACTCGGCGGAAGAGGAAGCATCGGAGTCGGAGTCGGGCGTGCTAGTGGTGAGAATGGGCTTTATTTCCTCCGCGACCAAGGATTCCTCAGTAGGGAGGGAGATGACAATGACGGGCGCGTGTTCCCTGCGGATAACTGGCTCTACAGCCCAAGTCTCTCTGGCCTCCTTGACGACTTCAGGAACGGACACCTCCCGAGGGTCTTCGAACAGGACAGCGGCATACGCAATATCCGTGTCTGCGACGGACTCGGCCGCCACAGGTCTCTCCACCTTCCAGCTCGCAGGCAGGCTGCTGCGCCTTCCATGCCCAGTCTTCAGCGCCACGCGGTACATGGGGTTGCCGGCGGGCGGCGGGGTCGCCTTGAGCGGAGGGACCGGCCAGCTCGCGCGCTTGCTAGACCTGAGCTGCATGTGGACGCGTGGAGGCGCACGAATGGCGGGCGCGGTCCACTGGTTGACGAGCGTGGGCGTTTGCGCGATGGGCGTGAAGAGCGGGGATATGGCCGACAGGGGCACGATGGGTACTGTGGCCTTGCGCGCTGGCTCTTCGAGTCCTATGCTCTGCTTGACGTACGCGAGCCATGTTTTGCCGCTGAATCTGCGCGTGTCGGGCTGCTTGCCCCGATAGGTGAAGCTGAGCCGCACGCGAAGGGAGTGGAGGAAGCGGGAGAGGCGGCTGGGGGGAGGGGAGGCGGTGTCTGTAGAGTAGGAGAGCGGGAGAGCCGTGCCCGAGGGCGTGGTGAGGAACCCTTTGAAGGAGGGTTTGGGAGGGCGGAGCCGGACGAGGGAGGCTTTAAGCCTGACTGGGAGTTGGATGAAGGCGACACACTACACATGCGGGATGAGCATGAGATGGATAGGCACCGTCGAAGGGCGTTACCTGTCCCTTTATCCATGCTTTGTAATCGCGTGTGCTCTTGGAGTAAACGGAGTTATCTTCGCACCATGTATACCACTGAGTACGGAAGTGTCGGTTCCAAATACAAGACAGATGGACCGAACTCTACTTACAGACATGATCGACGCACGAGCGCCTGTACCTTGCACAGCGGGTACCGCGTGGTGGCCAGATGGAGCAAACCAAGAGATCGCCCTGATAGCAGGGACAATCCGGTAATAGAAGACCAATACCATCCCACACAGGAAGAAGAGCGCAACGAAGGTGTAGAGAAACCAGAACTCGATGGACACCCGTATCTCCATGAGAGGAACAGTAACCGAAGTTTGGGTGGATGTGGTGTGGGTGGTGGGTGCGAGGATGCAAGGTTGGCAGGATGGTGGTATGGACTATGGAATATACTCTACGTTCACAGCCTTTTATGCACTTCAAAATGTCAGCCTCTTGGCTGACGAGGGCCGACTGCCTACTAGCCGTCATTTCAGCCAGGCATGCCAGCCGCCATCCAAGCCCTGGCGGCTGGCCCTGGCATCCAAGAGGCGTTAGAATTAGGACCGAAGGGATTCATCATTGTAGTCGTAGGTGACAGTCGTGGCGATGCATTAATTTGCATTTGGATTCGGTTTCATAATAACGGCGCAGACAAGAAGAGCTGTTTTCGACGGTGTCGCTGAACTGAGCTGGACGCGAAGCGGAAGAATCGCCACCATCTTAACGTTGGTGGAGTGGCTGTGTCGCACTTTGGGCTTGCCTAGGGTTAGGGCTTACGTCACCGCTTGATTCGTCTTGAAACAAAAGACAGCGCAAACAGCACTCGCACAGACACCCACCATGTCGCACGACCAGCATAACAGTCACGGAGGCGATTGCGGCCATGAAGCGCACGACCACGGCCACGATCACGGCCACAGCCATGACGAGACCGGCGGGCCCAAGGACAACCTCTACATCCGCATCGACAGACCGAACGTCGTGGCACTCAATGCGGACAAGGAGGGCCCGGAGGTGATCAAGCCATGGGATAAGCGCCTTGATGAGGTGGTAGTGAGTGGTATTCATGTGCTCCTTTGTTGAGTGGGGTTGGAATCCTGATCGGACGGATAGTATCTGGAGTCGGACGCGGACGATCAGATGTACGTACCGCCATCCCCGACATTTTTCGACGCCTCATTTGCGCTCACAAGCATCACCTCTGCTTTTACGAACTTCACTTGCGACCACTGAAGGATCATACGCGTCCCATTCACCGGCTCTGTCAAACTCCGCGCCGTCCTCATCAAGAGCGGTCCCGCCAACCAGACTCCGGCGAAAGTCTTATTGGTATGCCCCGTTCTGCTACTCGACGCGCTTGACAGTAGCTAACGACGTGTGTCAAGTATGCCAACGAGAACAACCTTGATTTCTCGGACGCAACGGATAAGAAGCCGACGCAAGAGTTCGCGGTGGCGCAGGGTAGGGAAGTGGGGGAGTACTCCGTCATGTACGTAGCTCTATTGGTGGCGGGCTGATACCTTCTCCATACTCATGTATGTGACCCAGGCCTGCCAAGTTCTCCAACATCACCTCCATCACCTTGTTCTTCCCCGCCTCCCAAGGCGCCGATACGACCCGAATTTACTACATCGGCTTCTTGGGGTCCTGGCACGAGGTACATTTCCCTTCACCACCTTACTGTCACTTGGACAAGCGCTGACCCCGACTTCATAGAGGAAAGAAAACCCAGTCGTGACGGTGTATGAAGCGCAGGCAAACCTGGCTGACCACGAGAAGATACCAGGGACGGAGGGCAACTTCAGCGCGCCCCAATCGTGATCGTACCCCCAACTGGACGTTATCTTGTACCATGGCGTGACGAAATGGAAGGTCCAATGGAGCAATTCAATGAAGAAAGGAAAGAACGAAGAAGTGTGGCTTAATGTATTCTAGCTTGCATTCGTTATATAACAGAGGGTTCATATTGTAGTGAAGCCGGGTGGAGGACACATTTCTGAGTGTCGCTGCGAAGTCCCGGAACCAAATCGATGGATACCTTACACTTAGCGTGCTCCTGACTTCACTCGACGAATATTGGCATCAATGGGCGCGCAACAGAGCATCTCCCTACTTTAAGTTCTGACCTGGAAACTCGCCTACAACGGCCATGTAGTGCTCCCTCTCCTCCCACCACGGCAGATGGAATGACCGCGCAAACTTGTACCACTTGATCCTGTCCATCCCCTACTGGCAGAAGAACCGCTCGACAACATCGTCCGTCATGTAGTCATACTCACCGTTGATGAGCAAAGTTGGCACGTGCCGCGTCAGGGGGATCTTGTCCCGGATCTCCCACCTATCTGCAAGGCCAGCCGAGTTGGTCATCCTACAGCACGCAAGAGGTCAGCGTAGTGCACCTATCGACGTCATGACGCGCGCTGACGTGGAGTCGATCACCGCCGGATTTTTGCTGCTCAGCGAGAGTGAGTACCCCACTTCCTCAGGGGATGGCCGCACCCTGCACCCAAACGTCCCCAAGAACACCGCCATGTGCCCCCTATACTCCTCACTTGTCCTGTCTCCCGCCTGCTCGCACCTCCTCGGACGGCTGCTCGCGGAGCCGTGCGCGCGCGCCTCATTCATGAGCTACATGCTTGCCGGGCCATTTGAGATGACCAGCCTGTGCAGGCCCCGCAGTTGCCGCGCACGACGAATCCCGCCGCGAGCATCGCGCCCCGCGAGTGCCCAAGGATGCTGTACTTCCCCGTGACGCCCAGGTGCGCGAGCTCGTCGACGAAGAGGTCGGTCGTCCAGAAGGACGCGTCTGTCGACGGGAGGAGCGTCGAGCGCCCGTTGCCAAGCCGGTCGTATAATACGACGGGTGTGGCGGGGCGATGTCGGAGAAGGGGAGGAGGTAGTCGTGCGAGATGCCCGGGCCGCCGTGCAGAACGATTAGTGGCCCATCTGCGCAGCTGTAGAGGTCGACGACGAGCTTGTAGGAGGTCCGTACATACTGTGACATCGCCTGAGACGAGAGGATCCACAAGGATAGAATTAAGTCATTGTACCGGGATATATCCACAATGAATACAAGGTCTACGCAAGGGGCCAACGCGGGTATTACCGACGACGTCAACCCTATTGTCGTTGTCCCTTTCCAAGTTTACGGGGTCCCGACTTTCACTTTCTTGCACGGTTTGCGTGCACTTTCTATTTGCGATTTCCCAGAGCTGTATTAAAATCTGAATCTTTTTCTGTACCGTTGAGTAGCATTCTAGCACAGGTCTACATACTTTTTGAAGTGGTAGGACATACGCTATACCTTTGATAAAAGCAAAATCTGAGGACGCGAGCTGTAGACCACTTGCCTGATTCGGACAAACGACGCAGTGTGTCTGAAAACCGGCGATGCGAGACTTTTTCTAACAGTCCTCGTTGAATGGTGCAAGGATTGCTGGTAGTCTTGAATTTACAGTTGTATATTGTATCATGTAGAGTCTGTAGTCTGTCAAAGTATCTTGTGCTTTCTATACTAGTACATCGGCAAATTTGAAGAAATATGTATCCATCAAGCCCTACGGTTGCATGGTCACAACGGACCTTTGGCAAATATGCGCCCACCAACAGCTCTGTCAAGAGAACTGCTATATTATAAGCACTGTTTATAACCAGTCTTATGCATCAGGAAGTAGAGAGGTGTTCCTGTATGTCTGAGTCAGTGCAGAAATATCATTGACTGAGAAGTGTTGGGGATCTTTCAGAACTGAACAATGTGATCTTAGGGATCAAAGATATATATAAGTAGTTATAAGCTATTACCTATGTGTACATGGATGACATAGGCTTGTTGATTCCCGACAATCAAGCACACAAAACATAAACCCAGGCAGAAGAGGAGCCGCCACAAATTGCCTTATCAAGGTGGTCCTCTCTCTTACGTGATGCTTTCGGGGTCCTGTTCACTTTAGGGGGTTGCCGTCGCGCGTTTTCTGGCCGTTGGCCCCTTGGGTCTACGCCACAAGAAGCTCAGTCATCAGATCGTGCTAACACTCACTACTCGGATAGAAAGACGTCCACGATCGCCATGTAGCGCTCTCACTCCTCCCACTAGGGCTTGTGGCTCGAGTTGGCAAACTTGCACCATTTGACCTTGTCTATACCCCAGAAGAACGGCCCACAGACGTCGTCGGTCATGTGATCGTACTCGCCATTGATAAGCAAGGTGGGGACGTGCCGCATGAGATATATTTCGTCGCAAATGTCCCATTTATCATGCAAGCCGGTCGGGCCGTGCAGCCTATCACGGACATCCAGCGGTGGATTAGAAGTTTACGGGTAGAGAAGTCATAGAAACTCACATCGATTCTAGTACCGTTGTTCGCCATGGAGAGCGGGTGGACCACCTCTTCCGGGAACGGCTTGACTCTGCACGCAAACGTCTCCCAGAAAACATTCATGGCCGCTTTGTACTCCTGGCTCTTCGTAGTACCGGCTTCCTCGTGCACCTTAAGGTAATCTTGCACGTCCTGTGTTTCGAAGGCTGGCACTTGCGAGGCCGTTTGAGAGCACGAGGCGCCCCAGGACCTAGGGCAGACGGCGGGTGATGAATTCCGAGGCAAGCGTGGCTCCCCAAGAAGTGTCCGATGATGTTGTATCTCTCGGAGATGTTGAAGTACTCCAGCACGTTTTGCAGCTCATCAATGAAGAGATCGATAGTCCAGAAGTGAATGTCTTTGCTGGGAAGAGCAGCGGACCGCCCGTTACCTAGCTGGTCGTAGAAGACAACGGCCGTGCCGTTAGGTGCTTTAGCCAACTCGGACAGATAGTCGTGCGATACACCGGGACCGCCGTGAAGCACGACAGCTGGCCCATCCGAACAGTTAGATATGTCGCCAACGACTTTATAGTACGTCTGACGGAAGGGGAAGGGAGAATCCATAAATGGCAGCCTGTGACCTAGCACTGCCACATCGTGCTTTTTAGCGTTGGTGCGTCTAATGTTTCTCTTGCTCTTCTTCCTTCACGATTCTGTAGGAGTTGGCTCACTGATGCTGGCGAGCGCATGAGATAATAAGTGAGTCTTCATATGCAATATCTCTTTCATGATGTTGTACTAGTAATTTGCGTTCGAGTATCGACGGTCCTACACCAAAGGGGCCACCCGCCAGTGCGCCCTGGGATCGGCGGTGTGAGACAACTAATTTTTACCTGACTATTCATCTTGGGGGTACTTGATGCAGAACTGACAGTATCCTTTCAGGTTCCATTGGATTCCGGTGGGTGCTGGACGTCCTTGGTTGGTAGGCGCCGAACTGTTTCTTGTTACGTTACATAAGCCTGTATAACTTAGCCTCTTCCAATACATCGTCTGTTATACTCGCATCGTTCCTCCTAAAATCACCACCATGTCTTCCGAAACACCAGCAAACAGTGCGCCAGAGACCGCGCAGACGGCCCCAGCGACAGAAGAAGCGGTCTCGTACAAGGTGTTCAGACCAGCACAGTCAGGACCAGCGTCGCCCCGTGCGTCCATCTCGCCCTAATGCTCTGGCTTCAGTAGTTGATCATTCACCGTCCGTGTCTACCGTTCTCCCTGCCTTCGTTCGACTTGGACAGCACCCGAACTACCCGACTCGTACTTTCAACCTACGGCCGCCGACCTGCAGCTCGCCCAAGCCCAGCTAAGCGCACGCACCCAAGCACTGACGGAGGCCCCCTTCAAGACGAAGGCAGCGAGAGAAGCGGAGGAGAAGGCTAAGCGGGAACGATGGCCCACAGTACGTCCACGTTTATCCGATTCGTCCTCCGTGACAATGGACTCACTGACGGTGGCTAGACGAGGATTCGAGTGAAGTTCCCCGACGGCACGCAGCTGGAGAAGCACTTCCCGTCCACGGACAGAATCAAGCCTGTGTATGTCTTCGTCCGGTCATGTCTACGCGACGACGTGAAGCCGATCAAGTTCATCCTTTGTGAGTGGCCGGCTGCTTCCCAGATGCCTTCCACTCTATATGCATGCATCCTTACTTTGTTGACCTACAGACCAACCCCCGAGACGTGATCTGAAGAACTCAGACCCGAAAGTCCGCGATCTCTCCCTGGCTGAGCTACAGCTCGCCCCTTCGTCCGTTCTCCTGCTCAGATTTGAAGATCCCGCGCTAAACCGTACGTTGGGTGTCTTGCCGTTACTTTTGTAGTCCCCTAACACCATGCGACGGTAGATCCCACCGTCCCTGCGCCTCTCCTTCCTTCTGTTCTCTCGCTGTCCGAAGACCTTCCGGCGCCACCAAACTTCGACGCAGAGCCTTCCTCGCGCAGCACTTCGGGATCTTCCACGCCCGCCCCGAGGCTGTCCTCGAGTACACTCATGCAGGGTGCGGAGAAGAAGGTGCCCAAGTGGTTCAAGATGGGTTCGAGTACGTCCTGATTCCCTTGTCCCCCATTGCGGCGTGGCACTGACTGTCAAACGCAGAGAAGTAGAGAATGATTTATTTGACGCTGGAGAGTCAGGAACGCGTCCTAGGACTGGCGGTGTTGTGATTTCTTTCCATTTATCATTTACAGGGGAGACAATGCAACATGTACGAGCATATACAACGACAATGACCACTGAAATTGTGAAGAGGAGGCACCATCTCTTGCGATGCGGACTTGTGAGAGACACGGTATTCGCTTGGTGTGGGGCGGCTGTATTGTTCACACGTGCACCTCCCATCGTCTTCCTGACCTTGCGGTGAGAGTGGCCGTCTGCTTATCGAAGATCAACATCGAGCCGGACTGGCATAGGTTCCCCGTATACATACCCATCTCTCGGAGTCTCTTGCGGGCCAGACCCTCCTCCGACGTCTCACCATGCTCAGTCACTGGCGCTTCGAGAGACCCGTGCCCCAGCAACACGGTCTCTCTGATGCCAGTGAATGAGCATGGGTTGGGGCGAGAACGTCAGGGTCGGGTCATCTTCGTGGCACTCGGATATGTTGCTGCTCCCAGAAGTCGCGGGCGAGATCGACACCTGCGAATAGAAAGAAAGTTGTTTCAGACATCCAGAGGAAGCTAAGTATTTATGCAACGGAAGTCGAGGCATGTGATGGCGGTGAGCCCATGACGACGGCGAGAATGCGGAACGATCGACCGAAATGATATCCAAACCTCGAAGTCCGAGGGTGAACGGAGACGGGCATGCTTCAGATGTCACTTGAATGACGAACGACCTGTCAGCGGACATGTCGGAGTACAGAAGGCGTTGGGCCGGGAACAAGTTGTGAAGCATACCGGTTCCGCCGTGGTCCACTTTGAATCATTAATGCCTTACGGGCGAAAGAATGGGGCCATGAGCAGGGGGCCGCTGGCGATCCTGTCGGGGAACATGGGTGGCTGGCGAGACAAGGCTGGAGGGATCCCTTGTTCCTTGATTACCTACCCTGTGCCGGAAAAACGTTCCTTCCCGAATTATTGAATTCATGGACGGAATGAAGGGTGAAACAGTAAGCTCATACCACTCAGTTATGTCTGCATTCGATGTACTGCGTCATCGCTTACAGATTCTTCAAAGACTTCTAACAGAAGCATGGGAGGATCAATCTGGTCGTGTCAGTCTGCATACACAAGAGAGACTATCAGATGAAAACATACCACGGATACTGTAATCGCGCCTTTGTTCGTTGGCCTAGGCGTCAAAGTACAGGTTAACGCAGTCAATACGCGCGGAAGAAAAGGGCGCCGAAACAGAACAATCATTAAAAAAAAACACCCCAAATATCCAGCCCACCACGCCTCCCCGACCTTCCTGACCTGTACATCCTGCACCACGCAGTAACTCGCCATGTCCCCAACGCCACAGCGAGTACGGTTATGCAAGGTCGCAGCAAGGTCTTTCTAGTCGGAGAGGGTGTACCCCAAATCCCCATCCGTGCTCTGCGGTCTTATCATCCTGAACCAAATCCAAGTCCTTGAGACAACATAGGGTGTGACCCATGGAGGAACCACGACGAGCGACTCAAAAGGAAGAAAGAGTATACACGGCACCTTTACACCCGTCGCATATGACTTATCGTGATCCGAGTTCGTCTCCGAATACGCCAGCTTCTGCCACATTGTGCCTGTGAGATCAGAGAAAACACGACCCTGCAAAGAAGTGGGTCAGTCACCCAGGCCATCCAAGAGGACTAACAAAAAGAAGCATCAAATGATTACCAACGAATACTTCGCCATCCTCGGCGATCGTATTGGTGTATCTATGAGAAAGGAGAGCAGATTAGCGCGCTGAGGAGACTGAACAGAGTGCTCAGCGTAATTCAAATGAGCCGAAACAATTCATCAAGAAGCCGAACCCCCTCGAGCGGCCGCATATCCAACCCAACATCCTCATCCGACCTTCCTGCCTTCGGCATCGTGCACCACACAGTACTCGCAATGTCCCCAACAGCCAGAGCGAGTACGGTTATGCACGGTGGCAGCAAAAACATCGGGTCAGAGAGATGCAACAACCAGTAACCAACCGCGCTCCCCATATCCCAAACCGAAGTGACCAAGATGCGACCGAAACCGTGTCCTTGAGACAGCACCATACCCATTTAACTACAAGGAGGGAGATAGCAGCCGAGCGAAGAAGATGATACACGACACCTTGACCCCATCCACCTAGTTCATCATGATCGACCTCCTCTTGGCGAACGTGTTGTAGTCGGCGAACGGCATCATCGTCTTCATCGCTCCCAGGTCGTGGTGCGTGACCGCGCGAGTAGGCTTGCCGATATCCATCGGGTCCCTCGCCAGCTCCTTGAACCACACCTGGACCTTGCGGTACTTCCTCTTCATCGCGTACTCAGCGTCGTACGTGGCGCGCATGATAGCGTAGGATTTGGATCCCATGTCTAAAGAGATGAAGATAGTGTTAGGTGACTAGGTGATTGATTGGGTGTGTAGGGGTGAGCGGGGTGCGTGAGGTGTGTGCGTAGGTAGCTGGTAAGGCTGGGGCGCAGGTGGTACAAGACCGAAGATAAGGAGCGAGCTCAAAATCTTGGTGTGAGCTCACGCCGCGACCCCGCTTTTATGATAGCCAGCGCATGTATCGCGGCTATCCCGACACAGAATCCGTCCGCGGCTGCAGGCCCGCAGTGGGCCGGTGCTAGCCGCGGTTCAGATATGAATATGGGAAATACTTACCGGGCCAAATAGGACGACCTGCGCACTGCCGGGGAACTCGTGGAAGTGACGCGACTACCGAGAGTGTGAGTACTTACCAGATGAAATGACACGAGCTTCAAAACACAATAGGGCGGAGCACGATGGTGCAATCCCATCAGATTCAACTAGTTGATCGGACAGCGTGACTTGAAAGGCGTAGTTACAATCCCGACCGCAGGATGCTCATCTCGCGGTCGGGATTGCAGCTAGGCACTGAAAAAGACCTATCTGTTGTATTATTTTTTTCTATACCTTTAGTAAACGGGAAAGTCTGGGTCCACATCGCGACTCCATGCTTTCAAACCCCCAATCACATCTTTCACCACAACATCCCTCCGCAGAGCTCGAAGCGCGTCTGCGGCTATCTGGGAGTCGTTTCCTAGCCGACAGACCACGTACACTTCTTTGACGCCATCTTCCAGTACGGAGGCTGTTGTTGTTGGATTCGCTGACAGTTCCTTGAGAGGGATGTCTGCAAAGCAGAGGTTCGGCTTAGCCTTACATAACAGTTACAGAAAGCGCTTGCGCATACTGATTGACTCCCACAAATGGCAGATGCCAAACTCGGTGCGCGGCCGCACGTCTAATATTTTCGTATGGCTTGCAGCCTCGGATGCCAGGATATCATTCAATTTCTAGGTCATGGATGAGCCTGCAAGCAGGGCTTATCTCCGATCCACCACTCACTGTCGGTGTTATGCGCAGGCCCGGGTCGCCTTGCATCATCCCTTTTTTTTCCCAGTCGGGAGGCCCACCGCCGCAAAAAGCAACATAATCTGTATCTCGAATCTGACCTTCTTTTAAGCCCTCCTGTCCGCAAGCCGGACATGTTGGCCTCCGTGATCTCAGTTTGATGCTTCGGAATGGAGGGACGCCTAGAGCCGAATATATGAGAAGAGAGGCTTTCCCCTCTGCCGCACCGCGTATGAAGGCAGGTCGGTCAGTACGAACTGCTATAACAGGCTTGATGTAACTCACCATGCATCCCAGCGAGAAGTTTGATCGCCTCCAGAGCCTGGAGAGTTCCGATTACTCCGGTCACAGTTCCTAATATTCCTGTCTCCTCGCAGGTACCGGCGTGCTCCGGCGCTGGCGGTTTCGGAAATATACATCTGTAGCAGGGCCCCTCGTTGTTGAGATTGTACACGCATAGCTGCCCGTCAAATTTCTGAGCTGCACCGCTAACGAGGGGTTTCCCCAGAGCAACCGCGGTGTCAGAAAGCAGATATCGAGTTGGGGCATTATCGGTGCAATCCAGAATCACGTCGTAGGAGCTCAAAATATCCAGAGCATTCAGGGCAGACAACGCTTCGGTGTAAATGTTTATCTTGATCTTAGAGTTGAGACTGTAAGAGCCATTCAGTCGGACAAGCGATAGAACTAGGAGTAGTTGGGACGTGACGTTCTGATCGCTTCAGCAGCAGACTCGGCTTTCGGCATCCCTACACGCTGCTCAGTGTGCAGTATCTGCCTATGCAGATTTGATAATTCCACGACGTCGTGGTCGACGATCCCGATCCGACCTTTCGACCAATCAATACGACTTAGGTACTGTTTCGTCGAGTCTGACGACCTGCCTATGCCAGACGCAGCAAGATACTGTAAAGCCGGGCATCCAAGCCCGCCCGCTCCAACGACCACGACAGAGGCATTTTGCAAAGCAACTTGGCCTAACCTGTGGTAAGAACGGATAGGTAGACGCTAATGTCTTCTGCCGCACCAGGCAAACCGAAACCGTCGAGAATCATCTGCCTGCCATAGCGCTGATAGTCATCAAGGTGATTCAACCCAGCAGCACTCATTGTATGCTGTAAACACTTTTATCTGGCGAAGGGGAGACCGCAAAAGATGTTCGGGGATCTTCGGAGATGCGTCCAAGGCCTCTCCGACTCGACGCGAGGGTCACGTGCCGATCGCGTCTCATTAAGCGCGTGCCGTGCAGCTTTGCATAACTTTACGTTCGGTTTGCATGTCATGGCCGCAAATCCAGTGCCAGCTTCCTTGGCTGCTGCGCCTGTACCGACGGGCCTCGAAGTAGCCCATATTGTGCACCCTGGTCAGTTTAATGGGTGCTCGCCGCCGATTGCACTGCTGATCACGATGGAGTCTGCAGGCAGATCAATACCCAAGCTTCCATGGCCAGATATTGGTCACTTGGGCAGCTGGGCAGTCTCATCATACAAGTTTGGATTCGGGCCCGAATGTTTACAAGACGGAGATCCAGATACCTTCTGGCAGTATGTCTCATTTTCACCCCCATCCTCATTTGCCCTAACAGCTCGCAGTTCAGATGGTTCTCAACCGCATTACATCACGATAACCTTCCCGTACCGAGTAGATATCCAAGTTAGTTGAGCGCTTGATCAGACGCTCCTCTGCTGACGACTTTTAGAAACTCAGCATCCACCTGAGTTTCCCGCTCGACGACTCCTATACCCCTGCTACCCTCTGTGTGCGAGCAGGCACCGGCATGAACGATTTGCAAGATATCCGGATCATTACCTTAGACAAGCCAGACGGGTGGATAACCTTCGACGTAACCACAGAGCCCAACGAGGACGGCGACGGCTTGTACGTTTTTCCGCATCCACGTATAATGGACTATTCAGTCAAAACACCATCGATAGTAAACCCGTCCCCGCCTACCTATTGCAGATTATAGTTTTTGCGAACCATATGAATGGCAAGGATACGCACATCCGGGGGCTTCGTGTCCTCGCGCCGACAGAGTAAGTATGTCCGGACTCGTGTTTCACATCCAGCGATTTACACCACTTATCAGCTATGTGGGGCCTGACCTAGACCCATTCCCTTTCAAAAACCCTCAATACACACACTTTCAGAGCCTCCGCTGAGATTCAGAGCTCAGTAAACGTCATGGTCTTTTTTGAGGTATCTCATGTTCGAAGAGGGGTACAATTGTGTTATACAGACGGTGTAAGTTACATTGGATGAACGTGTACATCAAGCGAGATAACGACGATTGCAGGGATGTTGCTGACTCTAGGCGGTATGTGCAATAAATGATCGCTCCAGCTAGTATGCGATATAAAATTATGGAAATCGGAGCTACTGTTATGAGGGAGTGAAGTCCATTGTTTGACGAGGCTGCAGTTGCGGACGATATGACTGCTGAATGTTTGCAGCCGGGATACGCGGATCGACCCGCGGCCCTGTAGGCAGGGCCTGACTTGGTGGTAGTCGTGGCTCTATGGGAGGGTACCCGTTCGTGTGGTACCCATTCGTCGCGGGCGTCGCTGTGTTCCATCTCGCTGACGGGATCTGTCCTTGTAATGGGGCCTGGCGGGTCGGACGTGAGATAGACCTACCGCCAACATTTAGATAGGACTTACCGGAGCTGCGAGGGCGGGCTGCATATACGACCCGTAGGGACTACCATAGGAAGACTGATTATACTGTGAAGGTCCGGGATTCGCAGGAACACTGTGTTGTGGGGGTTGGTAATAATCAAACTGGATAGGCGTGAACTGTTGCGATCCCGAAACCGGACCCGGCTGAGTTGGCGGCGGATAATGGCTATGGCCATTGAGGGGCGCGTAAGATGGGTTTCCAATGTAGGAGCCCGTCCCCGGATACGGAAGGGTACCCGTGGCAGGCGAGGGGTACACATTACTGGAACGAGAGTGGTTCCATTGCAGGGTAATATTCTTCGAGGGGTAGCCAGGATTTGTGGATGCCGAGTGTTGTCCCGACCCAGTAGCATAAGTGTGAGAGGGCGTAGGCTGACACGCTTGACACATGAAATGATAATCAGGATGGTTCCAGTTGCGTCTTCGACGACCATTAGCCTCGTCGACGCGGTCGTGACATTGTTGGTGCTGCCATTTCTTGCACACTTCGCACTGCACCAGAGGAACGTCGTTGTCCTAATGAAAGACCAAATCAGTGCCTATGCTTTCTGGATGTCTGAGACGCATACTATATTGATCCCTCTTTTCCGGCAGACCTCGCAGTGGACCTCCCAGTCGCTACCTGAGGGGGTCTGAATCCCACTAGTCGTGCCGCTGGAGGATTGTGCCAGGTCTTGTAACTGCAAAGCATCATGGGTAGGAGCGGCAGAACCGTTGGGTTTCGAGCTATCTCACTGTCAGGACTAGATAAACCCTTAGTGAATTTGGTAACGGACCTGCTATCGGCGGTTTGCTGCACCTCTTCCTGCAGCGCCTTCTGTTCTTTCTCCTCGCGTTCCTTCCTTCTCCGCTCACGCGCCTCCTCTCTTCTCCGCCTAGATTCTTCCTCCTGTTTCTGACGCGCCTCGGCCCTCTTCGCGCGAGCCAAAGCCTTCTCTTCCTCCGCCCGACGCTCAGCTTCCATGCGAGCCTGCTCTCTGACGCTCTCCTTGGTAGCAATCCGAGACGACCTCTTACGGTGCACAATGGCTTCTTCCAGTTTTTTCTTCCTTTCAATCTCCTGCGACGAGATGTCAGCCGTCGCAAGCATCAGCGGCGACCCAGTAGGACGTACACGAAGCTCTGCAGTCACCGCAGGGACGATGTCGTTCACTAGACGTTTATAAAGAGCCTTCTCGGCGTAATGATTAGACCCTGCAAATTGCTCTGCAACATGTTCCCACTCGTAAAGCGTCACACAAATCTAAAATAGAGGATCAGGGCTCGTCGTCTCAATTGTAGCAGACGAAGTACTCACTGCTTCCCATTCCACGAAGTCAGCAGGCAGTTCGGGCTGTACCCGTTCACTTGATCGTTTCGCAACATCAGCAGATTCAGGGACAGGCTCGGGCACCGGTTCCTTTTGCTCGTCATTTATGAGCGTCCTATCTTCTTGCTCATCCGACAATGAAGTGAGTTCACTGATCGAATCCGCGTCACTCTCCAGCCCGGTCGTAGCTCTGGCTGCTGCAGCTGCTCCCCGAGTCCGTCTGGCGACCGAGCCCCTAGCTACCGGCTGTTCCTCATCCTCTTTCAACCACTCTTCCGGTACCTGTTGCCACTCTTCATCAACAGTCGAGCCCCTTAATCGACTGCTAACTCTTGTCCCTGTCGGTCGGGGAGGAGCCTTAGTTGGGGAGCGCTCCGTCTTCTGCCGCTTAGTAGGCCGCTGCTTCGCATCCAATGCAGCTTGCCGTTGATATTCCTCAAACGCTTTTGCCTGAGCATCGAGCTTGATGTTGGCCTGTCTCTTGGCAGCTCGGTCTCCCTTCCGTGGGCCAGGAGTAGCAGGAGTTGCCGCGCTTTTCGTCTGCCTTGTGGCTCGACTACCTCGCGTCCGAGGCGCCTTGCTGGCCGGGACGTCCTCTTCGGGCTCTTCCTCCTCTTCGTAGGCCGGTTCAGCAGCACGAGAGGTCTGGGCTTGTTTACCTTTACGGGTGGTGCTCTTGGCAGGCGCTCGTTTGCGCTTTGGAGGACGTGGCGGCTTTGGGGGAACGCGCTGAATCCATAGACGGTCCGCTAGCAAGATCAATGAATACGCAGTAGAACTATAGGAACTGCAGGAGTACTTACGGCCAATCAACCAATATGCATTAGCCTTTGAGTCATACCCGATAGGTTCAATACGCTTAGCATATCGTTAGTCACTGGGCACGTAGGGCACCTATGGCGAGGTGCATCCCTGAGACTCACCCAGTTAGCACCTTCATCATCGTCCCTCATTATCTTCCTGAGTCTGGCCGGGTGATCAAAATGCCATTCGACCACAGTATGCATCGATTCTAATTTCTCTAGCATCGGTAGGTCCAACCAGTCCTTGGAGGGAGGTTGCTCAGCGGCGGTCGCAGGTGAGGATGTGTTAGCGGAGTCTACTGGGTGCCCCTGCTTGGCTTCAGAGGAAGATGGAGCTGGAGAGGAAGGTGCCTCTGTCCTCCTGCCGTCAGTGCGCCCATCCATGGCATCACTCGATGGACCTGTGTCTTTCTGGGCGGATTCTGGGACGGGGTCTTCCGCATCCTCCACTTTTGGTTCATGCTCGGGCTCTGCTGTGGATTGGAGGCGGCTACTGAGCTGGATGTATGGCTCTTCGTAGCTTCCAGATGTTCTCGGAGGCTCAGGGCCAATAGGATTAGCTTCAGGCTTCCGTCTCATATATTGGCGACGAAGCGCGGATTGCCAGTTGTCCAGGCTACAGTGCGGTAAGGACAGGTGCACAATTAGGATGTCACAGGAAGGTAACGCACTTGGTTTTCCTGTCTCCCGATAGCGTACCCAATAATCGGGCCATGATACGCGGGAGCACTATGGCTCGAGAGTGAACCAGGTCCTCCTCGATGTCCTGTTTGGAGGTACAGAATGTATGACATTAACCTCCACTCGAAAGAAAGGGATACGATGGGAAAGCAAGTAGCGTGGGACAGATCACGGAAGTGTGGACAACAGTACTGACCGTCAAAGTAACATCGTCGACGGCGAAGAGACGAGAGAAGGTGTAGAAGAGCTGGCTGAAGGCGGCCCATTTCCACTGTCGTCGAAGGAGGGCAAGGTCGGGATTGGAACTGGAGGGAACGGGGGTTTGTGTCGGGTGCGGGGTAGGAGAAGCGATCGCGGAGGCGCGGGTCGACGCGGTCACGGTTCTACGGGCCATGGCCTACTTTGGCTCGTGCAGAGCGCCTCGCTCAACAAATACGGGTGTCGTGTCCGCAGCCACAGGGATTACAGACGCGATATAGAGCACTGCTCAAGGTCGTGAAGTGCCGTACAATCAGAAAAGCAGAGCGCAGGAACCAGGACGCGCTGGGTGCTGGCGGCGTGCAGCGTTAATAATGGCGACTTGAACAGCGAACAAACGCGACGCCTGAGCCACATTTTTGCCACTCCGCTAATTATGTAATACACACTTATCAGCCCAAATACGCTATTCCGCCGCCCTCTTCTTCGCTCTGGCCTTTGCTGACCTCGACAGTCGTTTCGCTACAGCTCCTTGATATCTGGCAAGGGTTGAGAGGACAGCTTCTCACAAGACACAGCACTTACGTTGCGTTCAGGCCCGGCACTTCCTTGCGACAAAGGGTCACTCTCATGTACGGCGTTTTGCTAATTCTCAGACTAATTGTAATACTCAGGCTCCCATTCGTGGCAAGTACCATCAAGACGTACTGGTGCTTGCCTTCCAGTGCTTTCATCAGGGCGTCTCTTCTAGCCTGCTCGCCTGTCTCGTCTGCTGTTGGTGGCTCATCTTCATCCAGGCAGCCCACTTCATTGTACTGGTGCAGTGTACGCTCCTCCGGCGTCCCGTCTAGCTTGACGAATTCTCGCTTGATGATCTCGACCACTGAGGTAAGACGCGGAACCGCGGCCGTCGAAGGAGGCAGGCCACGCTTTACTTGATCCTTGTCGGCATCCTCTGGACCGCTTTCCTTGTCCCGCTTAGCGGGTAGAGTGTGGAGTACCAACGGTCGAGTTTCGTTCTTCTGCATTATCCCGTGAGTGCATGCGTCTGCCCCAGCGTACGTGCCACCTTACAGCCAGAAAGTCCAACGCGAACCCAACCCATGTCTGCATCTTCCCATGGAGTGTGATGCGGACTTCATGCGCTCCCGTCTCCACCTCAGTTGCAGATTCGGACATGGTGGCAGAAGAGTAATACACACCCGCGCATATACAGACCTGATTTTGATATTACATAATACACGATACAAACATGCTGTCTCTACGCTTGAAGTACGTTTTCCGCCAGAAACCCTGCTGCGCGTTTGAGCATGGCCTCTGTACACTCGTGCCCAGCTCCTTCCTGGACCATAACCTCCTTCTTCCCCTGGGGTCCTACATCCAGTTTATCTACGAAACTTTGCGAAGCCTTCCAAGGCACCAACTTGTCCTGGGCGCCGGACAGCACGAGCACTTTCTTCCCGAAGTAAGGGTTCGATTCGTCCGCGGAATAGTATGGCGTCGAGACAGGGTCATTCTTGCGGACGAACTGCAAGAAACTCTCTGGCGCATAGGGCGGTTCGAATGGCACCGATGACTTTTGCGCCCGGTCAGACATCAGAGCAATATAGTCAGGACATCCGATGATGGGTATCCCAGTCGAGATTCGCTTGTCTGCCGCGACGGCTTAAGAAGGACGCTGCCGTCTTCTTGCTCTCGCTCACCTGATTTCAGAGCAATCCATGTAGAATGTCCACCGAAGCTGATACCTGCTACGGCCCAGTCGGCGATGGTCCTTTCCTCACGAGGGAAGATATATGCCGGCAGGAAGTCAATCAGAAAGGTAACATCTCTCGCTGTACCCGCTAGATGCGTAGACATCAGCCATGCGTAGGTCGGACGGCCCCTGATCGCCTACTTTGGATGCTATACATATCGATCCTACGGGACACACTGTCAGTCTCTGGCGCCCTAGTCATGGGGCGAAGTTAGACATACGCATGGCGCTCGTTATGGCTCTCCAGGTCTTTCTTGTTCCACGCCTCGTTCGCTTTGGGGTCAGCCAATCTTGTTCCGTGATTGCGTTGATCCTGTGGTTGAGTGCCCTTGGTCGATCAATGCGACCGAGGAGGTGCAAGGCTACAGTCACTCACAAATGTCACGATGATCAGAGGGTGTAAGTTGGCGTTAGTTTCACGCAGATGGTGCAGCTCCTGGAAGAGCGTTTGTACATGAGGCTCAAGCCCTACAGCAGACCCTAGTCGCCCATGAAGGAAGAAGAGAACAATAGGCGATACATCCGAACGGACGAGGGGTTCCTCATACACGTTTACCACTATGCCGCCTACAACGTATGTGGAGCCAGGCACGGCCATAGATACAAGTACCAGTAGTGTAGACGATGGCGCTTTGCGACCAGCCCGAAGCTGCAGTCAGGTTAACATATAACAATACACCCCATTGGCTGGGGTGCAACACGTTACCCGCGGAAGACAAGAGTACAGCAGCTCCTCAATCTATTACAACTCAGGGGATTTTACGCCATGGCGTCGGTACCTCCCCACCTCCAAGACATAGCAGTACAATAATTTATGCAGAATGTAGACCAAGCAATGCTATCCTCACCAGCGGCCGCCTCCGCCTCCGCCTCTACCTCCATAACCGCCTCCACCATAACCGCCCCCACCTCCACCGCGGTCAAATCTACCACCGCCTCCACCACCACCGCCCCTACCGCGACCGCCTCCACCTCCGTAGCGACCTGCGATGATGGTAAGTTTCACTACCGAAGAACAAGGGTGTCCAACTCACTGCGACCGCCGCCACCACCGGAGAACATACTCATCTCTTCTAGCTGAGGGGGTATCTCTGCTTTCGCTTCCCGGAGAATACTCAGAAGTTCCCGGGCAGACTTGGCATTATCGGTGGTGAAGTACGTGTAGGAGGTACCCTTCATCCCAGCGCGCTATATAACAAACCGGTCAGCTAGGGGACAATACCATCACTGATCAGGACTTACGCCAGTACGGCCGATACGATGGATGTAGTCCTCGCAGTTATTGGGGAAGTCATAATTCTACCAACCAAGGTCAGACGATCCATGAATCATCAGCAAGGAAATACGCACGATGACATAGCCTACGTCCTTCACGTCTGGGTGACGCAACGAACAGCCAGATAGACAATAGAGCAACAAAGGGCGCACGAGTATGAGTATGTCGAGAAAGGCAAGCATAGAAGTAGACATGAATCAATAAACATATCCAGATCACCAATAGACAAGCGCGTCGACAGCCACAGAGCGACTGACTACGGCCAAGCGTATACAAAGGGTTCCAGAGGGCCTTAATTAAACTGCTCAAAACTAAACAGTTCAAAAGCTAGTCCGGCTCGAAGACAGGCAAGGCAAGCGCATCTTGATGGGCCGACCAGAGGGGAAACGATCCAGGAGCGTTCCATAATCCACAGCTTTGAGAGTCCATAACCACCAGTCATGCCAAGGAACAGTGTTACAACGTTCGTTGGAAATCAGGCACAGACGCTCCAGTGCCTGGAGCGTCTATAATCCTGCTGGAGAGGTCAGAGGGATACTTAGCAAAGACCGAGATTCCTCTATCAAGCCATGCGCCTTGTAAGCTGTGCCTGTCGTCCGGTTGCGGGCCCTAGGAACCTGTGAAAGAACAATACGCTTGTAACCTGGATACCCGTAACATGCCTGGTGTCACAGGCAGGTCAACGGTGCATGTGGTCGCTCGCCACTCTGCGCACGACGTCGCAACGCTCGTCATAAAAAGGAAGAACGTACCAAGACCACGCGACGCAACATCGGTGGCAATCAAAATAGGCGAACGGCCGGCCTTGAACTCGCCCAATACCCAGTCCCGTTCACGTCTAACCAGGAACCAGGAATATTAGTGACAGCTAATGATCAGGAAGGCGATCAACGCACTGTTCCTTGTCACCGTGTATGGCCAAAGCAGGCCACCCGTCTTGACGGAGGTACTTGGTGATATCGTCCGCCACTCGTTTCGTGCCCACAAAAATCAGGACTTTGGCGTTCTCTGCGCTGATTTGGTCCAAATGCTTAATCAATTTGGAGCGCTTCTCAAACTCGCTGCAGACTTCCACGATTTGTTTGATGTTGTGATTCGCTGTTAGCTCCATGGAGCCAATGTTGACCTGGATGAAATCTCTTAAAAAGTCCTGAGGCAATGATTAGTGTCATGAATTGGCCGACGGAGAGGTAGTCTTACGTTGGCCAGTTTCTGCACGTCCTTCGGCCATGTGGCGCTGAACATGAGTGTTTGCCTGTCAGGCCGGATCTGCCCAACAATCTTCCTAATCTGTGGCTCGAAACCCATGTCTAGCATGCGATCCGCCTCGTCCATGACAAGGTAAGTCACACGGCGGAGATTTGTCTTTCCAGTTTCAAGCATATCGATCAAACGCCCCGGTGTGGCGATGACAACCTCGACACCACGCTGCAAGTCACGAATCTGAGGACCTTTGGGCGCTCCACCGTAGATAGCGGTATTGCGAATACGAGAATTAGACCTGCGAGGAAGGTTATCAGCACAAGCTGACATGTGTACAGAGCTAGTGAACGCACCCAAACTTCGTGCACTCCTGCTGTATTTGTACAGCAAGCTCACGCGTAGGAGCAAGGATTAGAGCGATTGGTCCGTCACCAGGTGCCAGCAACGGCTGCCTATAGAGAAGTTCAGTACATTGCTGTGAAGGGTGGTTCCAGTCCACTTACGCGTTGATATGCAACATCGCGGGCAGTGCAAATGCAATGGTCTTGCCACTACCCGTCTGCGCTATTGCGACAACATCCCTACCACTTAGTGCCATGGGCCATGCCTGACATTGAATGGCGGTTGGTGCGCTAAATCCTTGTGCGCGGATGGTGGACATGATGTATTCAGGGAAGCCCGCCTCGTCAAAGGTAGTAACAGGACGCGGCACGCCACGACCTTGAATCTAAAAAATGTTAGTCAACAACAGCGGAGACATCAAATGTGGGAAATTCCGACCAACCTTGATTTCCTTGTTGCGACGATACTCTTCGATTTCTCTGTCGCTCCGGGCACTGACACGTTTGTCTTCCACATAGAAATTTTTCTCGAACTTTGGCAGCTTCTCTAAATCCCAATTGATGGTGCGGAGACCTCCGCCCAACCCAGACATCTTGTCTTCGTAGCCTCCTCCTCCTCCCCAACCTCCTCCTCCACCTCCACCGTAGCTACCACCACCACCGCCGTAACCGCCGTAACCGCCGCCGTAACCACCGCCGTAGCCGCCGCCGCTGCCGTAATGACTCTGAAAATGGGAGACTCAGCAAGTAAAGAAGAAAAAAGCCGCGTGCCACGTACCATGTCTATGGGATAGTAAAGGATGGAGGGAAAAGAGAATGAAGTGTCGAGCAAATGCGGTGCCCATTTTCTTCATGTTCTGACAAAGCAACAGCAACAAGTGCAAACACGCGACGCCACCTGGCGCCACTCGGCGCGGGGCCACATTTGTCCCATGCTCAGCACCTCAGCACTGCAGCATGTCTTGTAAATCTTGGTAGAATTCTCGTCTAACTTTCTCGTCACTAATGCAATATGTCTGAGTAGCGCGCCCGCGCAACCCCTTGTTTTGTACAAAGTCGATCTATGCACTGAGTGCCTAGCACATGAGCTGCATAGGCTCAAATGGGTATAGATATTCAAGAGGAAGATATGGTAGTCGATAATAGACCCATAAAGTACGCAGACTTGATGGTGTATACAGTTCAGAGATCGGCTAATAGGAACGATGAGTGCGATGTCAGCACTGCAGATGAGTGGGCTTACTCTCTATAGCTGGTCGGACCCAATATTCACATTATCGGGCAACGATTGGACGCTCTCTTCCGTTTTTTCCTGGTGGGATCTGCGGGATAACGGTCCCGCATCTGTCGAACGAGGTCTTCGAAGACTTCAGTGACATGCCAGTTTCGTTTGGCAGACGTCTCATAGAACGGCAGAGCCCAACGAGTGGCAAGGTCCTGGATTGTATCTCTTTGCACTTCCCTCTCATTTACCAGGTCCATTTTGGTGCCGACGACCACTATTGGTACATTCTATGGAGTTCAAACATTTAGAACTTTGGAGGGATGCAGCGGAGCGGAGATCCACGCACTGTATTACCACCCTTTATCCTGTATATCTGCTGCCGCAGATTGTCAACTTCTCGCAGACTAGCTTCTTGTGTCAAACTATCGCCGGTTGTCAGAGATATTCATACCATGTAGCATCAATGCTCGCCTAAAGACCAAAATAAAGCCACGGCCTGACTGTGACAAGGAAGAGCAAATGTCAGACGTCGGTACCACAGGAAAGAGGGGCCAGAACCTTCATATAAACTTCGTTTAACGCGGTGAATTGCTCCGCACCCGCCGTATCAAGGACCTCAAGCTAAGTGACGCTCATAGTTAGTCCGTGATGCTGGGATTGCGTTTAGGGGGAACTGGCATGGCAAACTTCCAGAGTACGAATAACGGTCATGACACAGCCATTGTTGATAGTGCAGCATTCACATACCAGACTACAGAGGGAGGCTGATGGCAAGACGGGATTCGGCAGGCCTCTTCCCCTGGGGAAGGTATTAGAGACTCGGACGATCTCTGCTTACCGAATATAGGTCGCCGTCAACCTCGACATTGCGCCGGTACTCCTCTAAGGGCTGAGATTTAAGCCCTGTCCGCGGGGTGATAGCAGAGCAGCTTACCCTCTATGGTAGGGTCGTAGTTCTCGACGAATACATCACGAATGAACCTCACTGTGAGCGCAGACTTGCCAACTCCTCCAGCTGGAAACACTTTCTGGTTCCAAAATTAATCGTCCTCATTCTCCTGAGACTCACCTCCGAGCACCACAGCATTGAATTCCCGCATTGGAGGCGCAGATGCAGGATTCCTCAGGAGTGACTATTGCCGCTGGACAGATCCGGTGGTGCGGTCTCGTATCACTGCGCCTCAGGGTCAGACCTCGCAGGTCGCCAGATGGGAAGGGCGTCCAAGCTGCCGCTGGCGATTCGGAGACCGTGTGCTGAGCGTGTACACTGTACAGGGGACTTGCCAGTCTCCGGATCCGTCGTGGCGCCGCATCAAGTCCATGGGAAGAGACGCGTCCAAACTGTGGCTAGTACTTTTGTAGTCTGAGTCTCTCTTCGAATACGCGACGGTCGCCCAGTATGCCCCGTCCAAGGGTGTTTATGGACTTTGCTGTCGACAACAATCCCATAGGAAGGTCTGTTATACATCATAGCTCCTACGCCGTCGTGCTGAGCGATTTTGCAGGGTTGTTATCGAACTATTCAATGACGCAGCACCCAAAACATGCGAAAAGTGAGCCCGCATTCACCTGTTATCTGCTCGTATGTAACTTATAGCTGCCAGCTTCCGAGCTCTATGCACTGGGGAGAAGGGCCTGTCGCCAGTCTCGGAGCGTCCATTGTACTACAAGAATAGCATTATCCATCGTTCAATCCGGGACTTCATGATCCAGGGCGGAGGTACGTGGTGTCTTACACATTGTCCTGGTTCTTTCCCTCTAGCCCGTGACGACTCTCGTCCCCAGACTTTACGAAACGGAACGGCACAGGCGGCGAGAGCATCTATGGGGGTGCTTTTGAGGACGAGGACCTCTCCCGGCCCCTGGATTCTGAAGGGTACGCGCCCGAGCACGGCAATCCGCAGACATTCTGACCACCTGTCAATAGCTTGGTATGCATGGCCAACAAGGGTCCCAATACCAATGGTTCTCAATTCTTCGTCACGCTACGTGACTGCCCACATCTAAACGGTCCATACCCTGCCCAGCCATCACCTTTTCCTCCTCATGCTGACCTCACCGCACTTTAGGTAAGCATGTCGTATTTGGGAAAGTCATTAGAGGCTACGAGGAAGTCATCAAGAAGATTGCCGACATTCCCGTTGACGAGAAGGATCGTCCTCAGGTGCCCGTGGTCATTGCGAACTGCGGGGAACTACAGCTGAAGAGCAAGGCGCAAGCGGGTGATAGAAAGGGTAAGGCTATGTTCACTCAATTGCCCCGAAACGATCTCATAGCTGTAATCGCAGAGTCGGAGAAGTCGACGCAGTCGAGAGAACGGAGCGGAAGCGCGCCCTCTTCAGAAAGTGGAGATGAACGGTACGAGAAACACAAAAGGCGGAGGCGATCCCGCACACCCGAACGAGATCGCGAACACCGCAAGAAGCACAAGCATAAACGCAAGCATGGCAGAAGTCGCTCTCCAGGTGGCACCCAGGAAGCGAGTAATTCCAAGAAAGACGTGGATGTGGAGGAGACGCCCGAAGAGTATGATGCGAGATTAGAAAGGGAAGAGCAGGAGCGTCTTGCCGAGGAGCGGCGGAGACACTTGGAGTCCCTCAAGAGCAGATATGCGAACTCTGCAGAGAGTGAGACCGGGATTCGATTCAAAGGTACGGTAACATGACTGCCACACCACAGTTCTCTCTAACATCAGACTACCAGGCCGGGGACGAATGAAATATGTCGACCCTGAGGTACGCCAAGGTAGACAAACCGGCGATAACAACCTTTACAAACGTTGAAATAATCCGTGCCAATTCTGATGCGCGGGGCGATGGGACCAGATTTAAGGGGAGTGCTAACTCGGCGTGCTGAATAAGATATGGATAGCGTTTCAAAGCATCTTTCAATAAGTCAGGAGGACGTAACAATAGCTATACCATAGACCCTTCAAATAGCGACCTCCGCAATCTGAGAGGTAACCTCAGCAACCCGCTCATCAGTACTTTTAGAGGTCTCAGACGTGTCTTCAGTCCTCTCTGACGCAGACTCTTTGCGGCCCCCAGCTGCAGAGGCGAAGCTTACAGCGGGGCGCACGGTAGCAGTCTGGGCTGTAGAGCTGCGTGGTGAACTGGGCGTCGGGGGACTGGCAGTGGCAGGCGGAGGCGAGCGGGTGAAGTTGGAAGCGTTGCGCTCTGATCCTGTACGAGAACTGGTGCGCGACATGGGGTGCGAGACGCGTTCCTTAGTGGCTTCTCGCTCTCTTTCGATTTTCTGGAGGACTTCCTGTTCTCGGGCCGTGACGTCGACAGGCCTAAGTGAGGGATCCATGTCAAATGCCGTTCGACGTAACTTAAGGAAGGAACGTACTTCGCAGCCCCGAAGGGATTAGAACGACTCGAACTGGAACTCACTGTACTGGGCGCCATCTTGGGGGAAGCGAGAGGGGAAGGACTATTAGAGCCACTGGTTCGCGGCAAGAGTTCCAATTTCCTGCGACCCATCTGAGGTGTAGGAGGGGTGGACGCAGTCGCTGGATGCGGATCAGACTGGTATGAGGACGGAGAGGAACATGCAGACGCACGAGATGAACTGTTCCTAGTAACTGGTCTCGGCTTCGCAGAACTGCGCCAGTCAGAGGGCTCATCGCTCGCCGCTGTCTCTCGCGATTGATTCACCTCACTCCGACCCCGGACGCTGCCGAATTTACTGGTCGGCACCTCGTCTGTGCTGGGTTTGAATTTGCTTCCTATTGTCCACTGTTCGTCCGAGGGAGGGGCATGTACTTCGCCCCCCAGGAATCCCGAACCCCTCCGTCTAAATGACGGCGCTTCCGGCTCAGGAGCCGGCGCCCTGGCAGGTCGGCTGGAACGCCAGTCGCTCACGGACTCGTATGCAGATGCAGGCCGTTCACCCGACGGTCCTTCGAAGCGACGACGAGAGGAGTCACGCGAGCCTGGCGCATCAGGTAGTGGACCTTCGCGCCGCCAATTGCCGGAGAATTTTGCGTCGTCATCCGCTGCGCCAAAACCTCCACGCTCCTTGGCTATATACGCGGTTAGAGAAGCAGCATCGATGTTTGAGAGAGACGCTTACGGGGTTCTGCCACACTGACACGGATGGTGCGACCGGCAAAGTTCTTAAGGTAGGCGTAAGAACTTTCTGGCAGGAAGAGCTCATGCCATTACTCACTGATCCCGATTTGTCCAAAGCCTCCTTCAAGGAGTCCAAGTCAACAAATTCGACATATCCAAAGCCCTTCGGTTTATCTTCACGATCCTTGATGATTTTGGCGGATTTTACCTGTCACAACGTCAACAACCAGTGCGATTTGCAATAGTTATACGCGCAAACTTACCTTGGATCCGCCAAAGAACTCTTCCAACTCCGATTCCGTCAGATCAAAGGCGAGGTTGCCAATGAAAGCGGTATATGGGGGCTGAGTAGGGAGAGGTAAATCTTCCCTAGGCGGACGATCCGCTGTAACATGTGAGCCAGTGAGGGGGGATAATTGATGTGGGTGCACTAACGTCTGGAGGACATGAAGTCGTCCCGTCTTCCGAAACCTCTGTCACTTGGCCGGGAATGATCATCATCGGTACGCGCAGACGCTTCGTGGATCGTCAAAAGAGAGGACAATGAGACATATCTGAGTAAGACACTCACGGGCGGTGGGCAAAGAATCCATCTCGTCTGCCCATGAGCCCAGGGCTATGGCGACATATCAATTCGATGCTGAATGTGATCTCACAAAGTCCACTCGCCATTATCCCCAAGGAACTCGTTGAGAGACATTTTCTGGCCTTTCTTTGGCGCTACAAGACATATTCAGCGACGGGGTAGTTACAGTGAACAAGGCAGACGCACCCATTTTGTTTTGTCGGGTGATAGAAGTCTTGCAGTGTCTTTTGAAGTCACAGACTCGTGGAAGCAGTGTCGATTAGCGACTTGAAGCTTTCCGGCTGATGCCTAATGTTTGTCTCTGTTTGGTTTCGTGGCTCTCTCCCCGCGTCCAAGCCCGCCACTGCTGCGTGCCCCGCTGAACGCATCTGCCATGATTCTGCTAGAGGTCTGTTTACCTCGACGACGTTGTGAAAGCCTCCTGCTGACCGACTCGACCAGCCTCACAACGTTATTATCCAAACCACCCTCAGCGAGAAGCTAGTCAGGTAAGTAAAGGTCTCCGATTCCCGCTCGCGTACCGACCTACTCGTTGCAATAGGCCTTCTGCCCTTGAGGTCCAGTTCGTCGACTATGATGACGTCCGATTCCGACTCTCGACTCCTGAGCGTAAGACAGTGGTTCTGCTCTCGATGAATATCCGGTGCTGGGGCGATCTCGTCAAGCACGGTGCGCTCGATATCTTGAAGCGTGAATACGGGAGCCTGGTGAAGGACACCGCAGAACCGGAGTTCGACGTGAGCCTCGAGATCGATTTGGATCAGGTACCCTCCGACCCTGGTGCGTCGCTCATGATACCTTCCATGCGATGCTCTTAAGTGAATACAGAGGCTCGGGAGTCATTTGTCAAATCCGTCTCCCTGCTGAAGCGCAACGCTCTCGCCGCACCCTTTGAGCGCGCGTTCCAAACTCAGAAAGAATTGGAGGCATCCGGCAGTGGGCAGGGCGAACTTATGCAGATACATTACCGCGACGAAGAGGCCATCTACGTGCAAGCTTCTGCTGATCGTGTCACTGTGATCTTCTCGACGATATTCAAAGAGGAGACGGACAGAATCCTCGGAAAGGTTTTCCTCCAGGTAAATATGCGCCATCAGACTCCCGAACATGTTAAAGACCACTACTGTAGGAATTTGTTGACGCGAGACGGCTTCCAACTATTCAAAATGCCCCCCAAGTCCTCTATTCAAGTAGAGATCCACCCCTCGAAATAAGACATGTGCCGGGCCTGCGCGACACAGACGACATCGGCTATGTTACATTCGTGCTTTTCCCTCGTCATTTCGCCAACAAGCCTTTGGCTGAAGGCGCAATATCGCACATCCAGCTTTTCCGTGACTACCTGCACTATCATATCAAGTGCTCGAAGGCCTACATGCATTCTAGGATGCGTCATCGGGTGTCGGAGTTCCAGAAGGTTCTGAATCGTGCGAAGACTGAAGTTGCGACGGGAGAACGGAAGACAGTCAGGTTCGTCGGCCTTTTCTCTTTTGGTACTCCTGGAACTTACGTGTCGTGTGGATAGCGGGCGTACCTTAGTTTCAAGATAGAGTACATACTAAATACCAAGTGGAAACTGTTTTAGTTGCAGATTGGATCATGACCCCCGAAGTCATGTGTGGGCTTGTCAATGTGTCAGAACTTCTGATGGCCCCTTAGCAAATGCAGCTGTATTGAAGTAGAGCAGCTGAACTAATATTGAGTAATACCAACCTTGTATAGCCTAAAATGACAAAGATGAAACTGAGGAGTAGGATGCTCCTGGTTTCCAAGTGCCCTCAAGTCCCTGGTTGGACCAGCTGATGGCAAATGATCTATGAAGATATCATCCTACCATGGACATGGGGACATTGTCATATGAGTGTACAAGTTCTGGCAGCATGAAGCACTGCTCTAACACACTGGTTCCAACACTTGCACTGACAGAAGCTGTTATCAATGGTCTTATTAGGGACTGGCACAGTCGCGGGAATCCCGGAACCCGCCTGAGCGGGACCTCTTCCGCAGAAAAAGGCTTCCGCGGAAGTTTATTCCCACGTCATCCGCGGGAGTGGCTGTTACTCAATGCTGGCTTCTCATTGGCTGGGAGATGTCCGCGCCTGTCACCTCTCGATGTACTCGAGTATGTATCGCCAAGTACGGTTTCCGTGGGAGTTTCAAACTCCGCTTCCCGCGGAAATCCTTTCCGTGGAATTACCACAGGCAGTCCCCGGAAGGGCCCGTGCCAGTCCCTAGGTCTTATGTATTAGTACAATGTTACAGCAGTAATTAGCTGTACACAACATTTTTGTGAATTGTTCCTTTGATGTGTGCCCTTGTATTCAGTCATGAATTCTTGAGATTGCTGCATATAGTTGACCATGTGGAAAGACCCCAGTTCAGAGGCCAATCACAATCCTGTCAAGGGTGAGTCCTTGGCAGTTGTGGAGGGTAGTTGCATTGGCAAGCCTGAGAGGGAATTGGGGGTGTTGAACTTTCCAGCTTGAAAATGTTGGCTGGAAATCAAATGTAATCCTTCGAATGCAGCAGGTTTCATCACTGATGCTTGAGGTGGGCATCAAATTGTTGCATAGGAGCCACACTGTAATGAATTGACAATGTAGGCTCTAAACAACAACATCGGCATTCTTCACCAAACCCTTTTGTACTGATAAGTTGCACATGAGGAGGTAGTTTGAAACTTGCATTCAGGTCTAGCTGGTGATTTGGAACACCACCTCCCTGAACACAAATCACCATGCCTGCCCAGGTGCCCTCCCAATGATGTGAACCCCATGCTCCATCATGCAACACCCGCTCACCCTGACCTCGGCCCTACCACGCTACCCAGGAAGCCTCCATGTCGCCACAATGAAATTTCGGCAAGACCAGACACAATAGCACAGCCACTATTTCACAACATATATCCTGCACCCGATATGCTGCACAACATACACTGGGTCGAAAAGTATTCAAAAGCCTGGGTTATGTGGCAGTAGCTCGGGAATGATGGACCTTGATCCAATTTCATCTCATGCTCTAGACTATTATAGGCTACCTGAAAATGTATATGGAAAATTGGAGCCCACTACAAAGGATAGGAGGCTGGTACAGTATTTTTTCATGAAGGATAATGGTCCCAACCACTACCAGGCTCAAAGGTCAACAGTATACACAGCCAAGAACAGGCCAAAAATTTGCCAAAAATTGATATTTAGTATTCCCTCCCTTTGCCTTCATTAGTGCTGCCACCCTGTCTGGTAAACTGTCATACAACCTCCGCAAAAATCCTTTCCAATCCCATACCACTCCTCCTGGACTACTGCCCAAAGGTGATCCACCATCTCCGGCTGGGGGTCCCATTCATGTATCCTCCGCTTGAGGTAGTCCCATACATGCTCTATGATGTTCAGGTCAGGGGATTGTGCTGGCCATGGCAGGATATGGATGCCACTTCCAGACCCGGGCAACTTTTGAACAATGCTTTGGATCATTGTCTTGCTGGAAGAAGTAGTCTTGAGGCTTCATCCTATAATCGTGTAAGGTCCCAAGAAGATGATCGTCAAGAATTTGAACATAGCCAGGGCCTGCCAATGTTCCCGTAATCCAATGAAGTCTGCCGATGCCCTTGGATGTGATGCATCCCCAAACCGTCAGCTGCCCTCCACCAAACTTCCTTGTCTTCTGGGTATACCTGTGCTGTGCAGCATCTCCCTGCCTCCACCAACACATCTTCCTACCATCTGAGCCAACCATGCTGATCTTCAACTCATCAGAGAATATGACCCTGCACCACTGCCTAAACCTGCCGTGCCCACTTATGCCTCTCTGTCAGATAGGGGACCTCCCTCCACACTGCTGAGATCAACCCTTCCTCCTGAAGCGAACAGTGTTTGTGGAAACATGTGTGAAGTACTGGTCCTGGAGCTGCTTGGTGTTATTGATGCGCCCTTGATCCAGCTGGAGGACAGCAAAATGGTGATCAGACATGCTGAGAGCCCTCGGGCGGCCTGGTTTGGGCCTTGGGTAACAGGATCCAGTTCGCTCGAACCACTTGATTACATAGGAAATTGTCAAATATGACCTTCTGGAGCCTTTTGCAATGTCTGACAGTTCTGCACTAGCACACCCAGACCTGATGATACAACCACATGTAGAAGGGCTTGTATAAGTTATAGGTAGGCAATTGACAAAGTAGAGTCGCAATACAGTGAGTTGTCATTGGCTTGCTTGAGTGCATAGGCCGCAATCCCACAGCGGACATCTGGAGGAGCATCAGGATGACGACATGCCTGCTCTTGCCACCATGCTGCCTTCAAAGAAGGCAATCACCCACCGCATTTCTTCGACCAACAAGAGACATTCCTCCTCCCAGCATTCAGCTCAGGCCTTTGCCTTGACCCATTCCATGCACATGCTGTCATTGAACTCCCTAGTCCCATCCTCACTGCTATCACCCATTGATCCTTGCCGTACAGTCCATATCCAAGATATCTCATAGCAGCTTTGCCAATTGTCCTTGTCCTTTTCCTTGGCTTTCTCATCTTCCTCCTTGCCTGGTCCCTGGATATCTTCATCACAAAGGATTAGCCGTTGGTTGCACCAGTCCCCCAGTGCATCAAGGCTCTCCAAGGCAGTGCAAGCACTACGGTAACGTTGGGCAGCACAAAGCATCTTCAAGTTGAAGTGCGTATAGAGGGACCTCATCCAAGTATTGGCCTTCTGACCAGTACTGGAAATGTGGTTCTTCTTGAACTCCTTGATGTCCATGAGAATACGGTGTTGGGGCGGATTTCAATGAGGCTGTCATGAGCTTGGGCAATGCGCAGCATGATCTCGTTCGCAATTAGGGACATTGGTAGTGAGGAGCGGAGAGCCAGAGGGACACACTGATGAAGAGTTATGGAGGCTGCAGCACACACAGTGCGCCCTACACAACTCACCTGTATTGGTTGGATGCTAATGCTACTGGTAAAGCTCATATGAACGACCCTTGTCATTAGGCAGCAGAGCTGCAGGGTTTATATACACTGTGGCCCATAAGCTGACTAAGCTACATGGAATATCCCTAATCCTACTGAGCCCCACCTATGATGTCACTGACCCACATGAGCTCCATGCCTTGTACAATAGTGGAATATACCAGAATGTTCCAGAGGGTTCCAGTATGTTCTGGTACATTGTAGAACCTGGCAGCTAAGTCAGCACCTAGTTCAACACTCCCCCTTGCTAAGTGCCGCTGATAATTGTGCAGGCAAGTGTTGGGCTGACTTAGATCACTTTTAGAACCTAAGTCTGAGTTGTGCTCTGAAGCGCAAGAACTTGACATGTCCTAAGTTCTTAGTGAACATGTCTGCAGGGTCATTTTCGCTGTCAATGTAGAATACTTCAACTTTCTTCTGCTCAACGACTTCCCTGATATAATGATAGTAAATGTTAATATGTTTAGACCTTCGCTCGGTGACAGGATTGGGTGCAAGGAATATAGATCCTTGGTTGTCACCGCAAATAGGATGGGGCCAAGTTGGTAGCCTAACTCATTGAAGAGTGTCTAACCCATACACATTGGCGGCTACAATCACTGAGCACCATGTACTTGGCTTCAGTGGAGGATAGCGCAACAGTTTTTGTGCTCTTGACTGCCAAATGAATATGCCATTCGCTAATTTGAGGAAGTAACCAGTTTGGGACTTCTTTGGACTGGGATCTTATGCCCAGTCTGAATCAGTGCAAGCAGTAATAACAAGTCCACTAGCACCATCAAAAGCTAGTGTGTAATTGCGAGTGCCAATTATATAGCAGCAGATATACAGCACTTTATCCAAGTGGGCTTGAGATGGATTAGCAGCAAATTGTGCTAACTTGGTCACTGCATAGCTGATATCTGGTTGAGTTCCAAGCATAATGTAAAGAAGGAACTGATCACGGTTTGCAACTGGCTACAAAGGGTATGATTGACTGGGCCATTGTTAGGCTCAGGTTGATAACCTGCAGGGAGAGGAGTTGGTGCAGATTTTGCATTCTGCATGCCACAATGCTGCAGCACTTTATCAAGGTAGGCAATCTCATCGAGATGAATTTCTCGGCCTTGCCTTGTAATGCACATGTGTAAGAATGCCTTGACATCACCAAGGTCCCTGCATTCCCACTTATTCATGAATCGTGTCTTAACATCTGACACGAGGGACTTGTCCTTGCCAAAAGGACAAGGCATCGTCAACATAGATGACAATAATTACCATGCAGCCATCTTTCTCAATGAGAAGATGCCAGCATCAGGAGTTAGATGTTTGCAGCTCCAAAGACTCAGCAAGTGTGCACCACCAAGCAAGCCCCGCTTGCTTAAGTCTGTAGAGTGCACAGCACAGTCTAGAAACCTTGTGCTCCTGGCCTTTTACAGCAAAGCCTTCAGGTTGTTCCATAAATTTGCTCATCCAGTTTGCCATAAAGGTAGGCATTGCGCACATCGAGTCTAGATACGTGCCAGTCCTCAAGTGCTGCTAGCATGAGCATAAGGTGCACTGTCTCAAAATGCACAACTGGTGAGAATATTTGGTCGAAGTCTATACCTTCAACCTGCGAGAAGCCTCTAGCGACTAATCTCATTCTATGACGTCCATCAGTTTTGACGTCAAATACCCAGCGACATTTTATGACTTTATGCCCTTTAGGGCAGTCAACCAAGTCAAAGACTCTGCACCAACAAAGTGCATCGAATTCTTTGTGGCAAGCAGCTCTCCATTCCTTCTGCTTCTCTGGTGGTAAGCGAAGGATATCATGGTACATCCATTCTCTGACATTGGATGTGTCTGGATCATCTGCCTCAGGCAAAATTGCCTTCAGAAGCAGGTCATTAATCAATGGTACTCCCCCTTCCCGGCATAGCTGTGCCAGAAGTAACTCATCAGCGTCTTGTTCAGACTGCAGGTGAGAGGCTTCAGGAGCGACTGGCTCATGTGAAGCACCCGGGGATCGAGCTGGAGGGTCGCAAGGTGGAGGGGCAGAGCTAGGTCTTCTGCTTAGACTGGTGAGGTATGCGAGACGTCTTAGTTTTTTCACCAACTAAATCCTTCCTTATCTGACTCAATGTTGCGATAGGTTTCTATGGGATTCTGCGATTCACCATAGATATTACCCAGGCGAGTTACTGGTTTCCTTTCTCTCACTGGTCTCTGCGGCTCATCTTGTGGTGCATGATCCCCTGGAGGTGGAGAGCCACTCTAGCCGCATTGACTGCGCTTTGTCCATTATAGTCCAAATAAAGTGCTCAGCGTGACCATTCTGTTGGTGCGCTGTCAGACTAGGAGATCGTTCGAATGCCAAACTAAGCTGTCGCTGCGCGCTGAACGTATCCCTTCCAGGCCTGAACTGTACCACAAGTACCAGCTTCAAGCCACTACATTTGGAATATACAGATCGGTAATGGAAGGTTTGGTGGACAGTATCTTCAATAACTGGCTGGGAATCGACAATGAAGACATATACGACATTGACTTCAATCATGCAAAGCACTTGCTGATGCAAGGAGAACAGTTTCGGCGCAGCATCAAAGCAGGAGGACTGTGAGAATATTCAGGGCGCAGAATATTCTAGGAGGATCCGAGACATTCCACTGTTTTCCCTTGACATGACTCATTCTATGTCCATATGACTCATTCCATGCCTTTATGACTCACTCCCTTACATATGACTCATGCTATGCGGATATGACTCATTCTATGTCAATATGACTCATGCTATTCCCTT